TAGTCGAACAGACTAAAATATTAAACTTCTTCATTTAATTTTTATTTTAATTCAACATCAAGGTCGCAATCATTTTTATTAATATAATCTTTCTAAAAATATTACGCTGTTATCCCTAAGGTAATTAATTTTTATAATAATTATTATAAAAAAAAAAAATTTTCTTAATTTAATAATCAATCCTTTATAAAAATTTCATTAATTAATGTTAAAATTATCTTTAAATTAAAGTTTATTTTATTTAATTATCCTCCCAATAAAATATAATCATTAAAATAAAATTTATTTCCTTAAATAAATTTAAAAATTATATTAAATTCAATAGGGTTTTCTCATCCCATAATTTCTTTTAAGAATTTTAACTTAAAATTTAAATTTTAAATCTACAAATTGAAACAGCTTTAATTTCATCAATTCCTTCATTCCAGTTTTCATTTAAAAAACAATTGATTATGCTACCTTTGCACAGTCAATATACTGCGGCTATTTAAAAATCACTGAGCAGAAATAATTTTAAATTATCAAAAAACCATGTTTTTGTTAAACAAGTAAATTAAAATTTTAATTTAATAAAATAAATTTGCCTAATTCTTTAATTATATATACATATATATTTTAAATTTAAAAATTTCTATATAATTAATATAAATATATTTATACTATCATTATTTATTAAAATACTTAATTTAACTCATTTTATTCCGAGAAATTTAAATTATTCCAATAAACAACAAAATTTAATAATCCCTGATACAAAAGGTACAATTAATAAAATTTATTTTTATTTAATTAATTAATTTATTTTAAATTTTCATTTACATTACTTATATCTATAATATTTATTTAATTTTTTTTAATACTTCAACAATTCAAAAACTAACTCTATTTAATTTTTTATTATAATTTTATTTAATTAAAATAATCACACACACAAATCATATTAAATTTTTCATAAATATTTAAATTTAATTTTTTTTTAATTTTAATAAATCATATTAAATCATTAATCTTTTCAATGTAAATAAAATATTTTTAAATAAACTAAAATTTTTTTTTATTTTAAATACATTTTCCAATATATTTACTTTGTTACGACTTTTCTTACAAATCATAATTAATAAGAACGGCGGGCAATTTGTACATAATTTAAATATAATTCAACTTATAAATTTTTATAAATTTACATTTAAATCCTTTTTAAATAATAAATTTAAATATAATTTACAAAAAAATATTTTTCAATATAACTCATCTAAATCTTAATAATTCTACATTTTGATTTGAATTTAATTTATAATATAAATTTATAATTAAAATCTCTTAATTTAATTTTCAACAATATATAAAATATTTATATTAAGTTAATCCATTTGTGGATTATCAAATTAATCAACAAGTTTTTCTAATATAATAAATTACCGCCAAATTTTTTATTTTTAATGCTTTACATTTAATATTTAATTAATTTTATTTTTATTTAAATAATAGGGTATCTAATCCTAATTTCTTTTTAAACTTAATTAGAAATAAATTTTCCAAAATAAATTTTTTTTATTAACTAAAATTATTACATTTCACTATAAATAAAATTAAAAAAAAATATTTAAATCTCCTTTTTATATTCTTTAAATTATTAAAATTATTTATTCTTATCATCAGTTTAACCGCAATTGCTGGCACCTAAATTTATTAATAATATAAATAAAATTATCTATTATAATTTTTATTAAAATAATTATTTTAAATATTAATTAATCATTAAAAATTATTTAAATTTTTAAAAATTTTTTTATAAAAATTTATTTATATTCAAATTTTATAATTAATTTATAGAAAAAAAATTATTTCCCTACCTTATTCACTAATTTATCATATTTATCTAATTCATTTATTTTTTAATCAATATATAATTTAAATTAATATTAAATTTAATAAACATTTAATTTATATATTGACTAAAAAATAAATATGACATTTCCTACCACATTCACTAATTTATCATATTTATCTAATTCATTTATTTTTTTATTTATTTATAAAATACATTTTATAAATAAGTAAAATATTATACAGACAATTTATTACATAAATTTTTTATAAATATAATAAATTATTTATTATATATATTTTTATTTAATTATTTATATAATAATTATATTTTAATATAAATTACGCACACGGATAAGAAATATTTTACATTTGCTCATCCCATATAAAAATATAAAAGTAATGGAAATTAAATTTTACATTAATTTATACTAGTATTATGAGGTAGTTAATACATGAAAATCATATAAGATGAATTCTGTACATCGATTAGCATAATATGATCACAAGTCAATAAATGATTTTGCTAATATATTATTTTGAATAAAAATTAAAAAAATATAAAAACAAAAAGAATGAAATTAATAAATTTTCTTCATTCTTTGTTTTCTTCTTCTATTAATTATTTTTTCTATTATTTGAATAAAAGATGTATCATGTGTAATAGATTAAATAGATAGATAATTTATATAAATATATAATTATACGTTTTGAAATTTATATATATATATATATATATATATATATATATATATATATATTAATTTCAATATATACATATATATAAATTATTATTTATCTATTACATACGATACGCCTTTTATTCAAATAATAGAAAAAATAATAGAAAAAAACAAAGAATGAATAAAATTTATTCATTTTATTTTTATTTGTTTTTATAAAATTTTTATTCAAAATAATATATTAGCAAAATCATTTATTGCGACTTGTAATCATAATATTACGCTAATCGATGTACAGCATTTATCTTATAAGATTTCCATATGTGTTACTACCTCACAATACTATTATAAATAAATGTGAAATTTAATTTGCATTACTTTTATATTTTTATATATAATGAGCAGATGTAAAATATTTCTCATTCGTGTGCGTAATATATTGGTTTTTGTATTTATACTGATTTTACACATATCAAATGCAAGAGAGACAAAGATAGAATGATACTCTCTCCTTGTCAAGCTGTCAGTATGTTACCACGAAAATTTCCCCATGAGTATAGATCTAGTGAGATTTGTTCATCCCAAATATTACATAAAAAGAAGTTACGTAGCTTCGTGAAATATTTTTTAATATATTCTTTATATAATAAAGCAGGGAGACAAAGAGTCAAATTTTGCATTATTGCTCTTAAAAATTTATAATAAATTAAATACGATCTCGTGGCTAACCCAACCTTACCCGCTGCTAGCTGCGCATCTCCCCAAGTTATATTATGAATTTTATATTTATCTTTTTTCCAAAAAATCGATCTTTGTCTCCCTGCGGACAATCCTACTGATTAAGAATATCGTAAATTTAATAAGATTCATTAAGTATTTTGGCTAATATATGGGATGAACGAATCCGTAATTCCCGGCCGGCCGATAGGCGTCTCCACCATGTCGCCTGTCGACCCTTAATGGAATCATTTATTGCTTCCATAATTCACAATAAACGTACATATTCGATCGTGCGTGTAACTCATGGAAAAATCAAGAAACTTTAACTTATTTAATATATATATATAGTTGAATTTATTTAAAAATTGAATTAAAACTTCTTTCAAAATTAAATTAAAAATTATTAGAAAATATAAAATTAAATTATAATTTCTAGGAAATAGGTATATGAAACTTTTTCATAAACTACTGCTTGCATGATTCCACAAATATTTTTAAAGTTATTGCATATATGACTTTTATCATAAATATTATATACAGGGTGGTTCAAAAGTTTTCTTTGCACCAACTGATTGATCTTATTATTCCGTGCATAAAAATATTAAGGTATAATAAACGAAAACTGAATATTTTACAAGATATTTATGTCAAAAAATTGGTAACTTCAAACCTTTTTATTATATAACTCAAAAAGTATATATTTAATGAAAAAATGTTTTATTATGCTGTTTTGGAAAGCTCTCGAGATAAGCTACAAAAATATGTAATAAAAAGTAGGGGGTTCTATTAAAAAAAATTAAATTAACCTTGAAATGCTCTCTAAATTAGACTCATGAGTCAAAGTCAAAATCACCATCAAGTGTGTTATTTTGAGCCCTACAATTTTTGTATTTAACATTTTTTCATAGGATCACTATTTTCAGAAATAATTGACCGTTACCAGACTTTTGAACCACCCTGTATACGTATTATACAGGGTGATTCATTTTAATCGTCCCAGGCAAATATTTCGTAAAAATGAATAAAACTAAAAGATATGAAAAAAATGTTTCAGACAAAAGTTATTTTTTGACTTTGAGGGGGACATAAGATGGTATCATTGATTTGACTTTAAATAATCATTTGAAGGTCATGTAAAGGTCACCTTCAATTTCGCTGGAACCTACTATTTTTCTCATCATATATTCTTGGAGTTTATCTCAAGAGCTTTTCAAACACTATAATGAAGTATTTTTCTCTTAAATATATACTTTCAGAGTTATTAAAGTTTGAAATGTACAATTTTTTAACGTAAAATGTAAATATCTTGTAATTAAAATAATATTCGCAGTTTTTGGTAATCATATACCTTAATACTTTTATGTACGCAATGTTGAGACCAATCAATTGGTATAAAGAAAACACATAGTTATTGCTTTTAAAAAAGTACGTAGCTATATATGCATTGTTGCAAATTACATTTTTTTTTAAATCATCCTGTATATGTACATATATGTTATAAATATATATATTATATTAACAATTATACATATAATTTATTTAAATTATTATCAAAATATTATTATTATTATTATTATATTGAATATATTAAATTGTTAATGGTAACAATAATTAAATGATTAAATTCAATTTTATTGCAGATGATTCGCGGAAATAGGATGAAATGAAATCAAAATTGCGAGCATGTTATCTACAAAAATTCTAACTAAATACTTCTCGTGATTTACAAAAGAGGTCGTCTCTCACATAAATTCCCTAGAGTTCCCTAAAAATTATTTCTAGGGCCTCTAGGCTGATCGAGAACCGAGCCTTCTGCTTGATGTTCGCGTAATATTTCGTCTGTAAAAGAATCCAATATTCATTCGCGTTATGGCGACGAAATTCCAGCTCAAGATCGGTGGATATCCCGCGGAATACGATGCTGCAAGACACGGACCGTACGATCCTGCGCGCTATTATGGAAAACGTGAGTTTGTTTCTCGCACTTTTTGACATACTAGAGGCTAGTATAGGTTCTCTCAGCTATGATAAATAATCTTATGTAATGAGCCTTTATTTAATGCAGCTGACACTTCGTTCTGGGATCTGAAGCTCAACGAGATCCCCGCTTGGCTCACGAGACGTCAGAAGACTCCTCAGGCGTTCGCGGCAGCGTGTTCAAGAGGTACATAATTGCTGTACACCAGCAAGAGAGGAGTCGAATTTTTATCGATCAAAAATTGCATAACTGCTTATCTTCAATAATATTAATATATATATATATATATGTATATTAATAATATATTATAATTATATATATATATGTGTGTATATTTATAATATATTATAATTATATATATATATATATATATATAACAATATTTTATGCATAATCAAAAATATAAGGAACAAGGAACAAATATTAGCGATTAGGAATAAAGAATAATGAACAGTTCAACACACAATAAAAAATATAAGCGATAGATGTCATAGATTGTACATAATCTAGAAAAGTTAAGTCAGTTGAGGGAAAGCGGTTTATTTTAAGATCTTTGATTTCAATAATATTATCATCAATATTATCATCTTCACAAATTATTGAGATAAAATTATCTGAATATTTGTGATCAAAATTTATGACTGATAATTGGGAATGAGGCTGTGTTCTGAAATTCACTACTAGAATTGTACTGATGAATTCGGAATAAAATAATTTTTTACTATTTTATCGATGAAATTCTATCATTTGTTCTTTGGTTTTATTCTTTATTCTTTTATTGTACGTTGAATCATTGATTTTTGAAGATTGAAACAATTATTCTTAAATCTTTATTCCTAATCACTAATATTCGTTTCTTGTCCTTATATTTTTGACTGTGCGCTTTACAATTACAATGAAACGAAAAGACTCTGATACTATAGAATATTCCAAGAGGAAACTGACAACTTCTAGAATTTACAGGGTGTTCCATAGGAAAATACTGAAACTAATCAACGGTCATTTTTAATGCATGCAGTTATTAAGAAAACAAAAATTGTGTTGAAAAGAGGAAAGTCTACAGTTTTTAATGGATAGAAATAAAATGTTTGTATATTTTATTCAAAAAAAGTAATGAAAAAAGTGCTAATAATCACATATGTAAATTAATGATAAATATTTTCGAAGTGTGCACAATTTGAATTTATACAAAATTCTGTTTTACAAAAACTCATAAAAACTTATCCTAACATGTCATTTTTAATGTTATCTACGATCCTTTTAATAGCTGCTATTAAATCTGGCACTGTTGAAAATATTTATTATTAGTTTATGTGATTTTTTGTTATAATTAGCATTTTTTTCATTATTTTTTATCAATAAAATAAACTAGTATACAAATATTTTATTTATATCTATTAAAAATTGCAGGTTTTCCTCTTTCTAACAAAATTTTTGTTTTTTTAATAACTGCATACATTAAAAAATGACAGCTGATTAGTTTTAGCATTTTCCTATGGGACATTTTGTATTTTAGAGGTCATTCTATGCAAAAAAAATAATGTACATTATAAGTATATTTGACTTGATTATCGAGATATGAAAAATTCTTGTTAGTAACACATTGCTCAATCTTCTGATTTATCATCTCTGGACTCTTTTGTGTGGTGTAATAAGATGATAACCCAGAAAATTGTCAACAATTAGTTAATAGAATAATAGAGACCACAGATAGTATTTTTATTGAATTTAACCAAATTAATTGATTATGATCCATGTTCTATCAACGAGCAGCACCATGTTTGCAAGTAGAAGATGAAAATTTTGAACAATTAATATGATTAAGAGAATAATATTTGCATAAAAATTATGTTTGGTATTTTTCATCTATTATAATATTATTAAAATTATTAATATCTCGATAACTCAGTCAAATTGACCTATAGTGTATATGAACTTTTTTGCTTGGACCGAATGCTAGATTATAGAAGTCTGTTAGTTTTTTCACTGAACATCTTTTACACAGTATAAATTTAGATAAGAAATGTGCAACAAGCTTGTTTTAAAAACATTGTTAAATACAACAAACTTGTTTTAAAAAAGTACAGTTTTATATAAATCATGATGCATGCATTTCCTGCTTTATATTCTTTATCTCATCTTTCAAGATCTACTAAAAATGAAGATGTAGAGCAAAATAAATGAACTTAATTGATTTGCTAAAGATGGTCCAAAGATCTAAAATGTTCAAATCAAATGAACAAGATTTTAAAACAAATTTGTTGAGCCTAATTTCTGTGCCATCTTACTAGTCTGTTTCTTACCTGATATTATTATTATTATGTTATCTCTGTTTTGCAGCATTCTGGCGTTGGCAACATAAGTATGTACAACCCAGAAAAAATGGTATAGCTCCATTCTTCCAAGTGGCAGTTGGTTGTATGATTGCATTCTATGTAATGAATTACAAAAAATTACGTAAGTAGAAGAAAATAGATAGATAATTTCGATATAAGTACATAAGTGTATAATGCTCTACATGATTTTATTTCAGGTCATCACAAAAATTACAAATATCACTAATTGTACTATAGACATCTTGCAATTGATTTGGTCAGAATAGAAGGAATTTATTGTATCAATTATTCGGAAAAGAGATATCCAATTATTTAGAATGTATTTAAATAAACATTCTTAGTATGCACAAATTATGATTTGTTATGCTAACTATATCAATTTCCTTATCAATGCATAAAATAACAACACAATTAAAATATAAGATTAAAAATAGCTTTTATAACTTATAACACTGACGAGATACTGTTAGTATCTCGTCAGTGCTTATAATAATTATTCTCTTTAGTTAATTTATAATATATATAATTAGTCTCTTTTATATTTTACAAGTTATAATATTATATCTCACATAAAAGGATAAATTTTTAATTAAATGTATAAATATGGTGGCCGATTTTTTAATAAATCAAAATATAATGTCTTAAATTTTACTATGAAAGAAATTAAAAACATTTAACTCTAAAAATAATTATATATTTTGTATGCAATACAGAATGTTAAAAAATTAGATCGAAAAAACTATAAAGGAAGGAAGAAAACTTTAAAATAAATATTTTTTGTTAACACTAATTTTTACGCGCTATATTTAGTTTTAATACTACATGATATGAGATGATATAAGTTATTTATATCTTATAATAAGATTTGTGACTTTTCAATTTGTCACTTTTGTATTAAAATTCATGGAGGAATTCTTGAACATTTACTGTAAAAAAAGTGAATTATTTTTATGTATTTGTTCCGTGGTTTTGTTTAAGATTAAAATACAATTTAATTTTGTCACTTATATGTTTGTTTATTTATTATTGAATCTTATATCATACCATGTAAAACTAAACATAAAAACGTCATAGAGAAAAATAGTATTAACAAAAATGTTTTTTAAATCTATTTCCCCTCGAAAATTGGTCTAATTTCTTAACACCCTGTGTAAAAAGAGTATTATTATATAATTAAATATTAATTAAGTAAATATATATAAAAATTTTAAATCTTTATTTTGGATTTTTACTATACAATTTATATTTATATTATATTGTTTATACATATAATTATAATTCATCTACATATAAGAGTAATAAAGAAAAAATTATATGAGCAGCGCGGTATGAAAAGTACAAATAAATTTATTATAAATCAACAATACTAATTTAAGAATAAACGTTTTGATCCATTTTTTTTAAATCTTTAGCACCGTATTATTGTAAGTCCACAATAGATATTTAAGCCCTAAAGGCTCGTCTACAATAGCAGTCATAAAGTCGTAGAAATTGACCAATCACAGTCGATTATTCTCCCGAATTTCAACTGTAATTGGTCAATTTCTTACGACTCTACGACTGCTATTGTAGACGAGCCTTAAGACTTAAAAATTGACTAATCACAGTCGAGTGTTTTCTTCATACTTGATCGTGATTGGTTAATTTCCTAAAGTTTAGAGTTTAAATTATCCATTGTGTGGACCTGGCCTAAGGTTGGATCTACAACAGGTGTAGTAAGCTCTAAGGGTGCGATTACATGGACGCGCGGAAACGCGGAAACGCGGAAACGCGGAAGAGAAAGTAACTAAACTTTACTAGAGTCCCGCATTTCCGCGCGTTCCGTTCCGTCTGTTTTGATTGCCTTATATTACATGGAGCACATTTTGAGCGGAAAAGCGGAACGGGGAATTATAAAATATTAATATTTAACTATATTTATTGATTAAAATGCTTGTATTCAATAGATAAGTTGAAAAGATAAACATATTAAAAGGAATTACAATGAATTAAGTAAATATAAATTTAAAAAATTAATACAAATGTCTATTTGTCACTATACCGTTCCGCTTTTCCGCTCAAAATGTGCTCCATGTAATATAAGGCAATCAAAACAGACGGAACGAAACGCGCGGAAATGCGGGACTCTAGTAAAGTTTAGTTACTTTCTCTTCCGCGTTTCCGCGTTTCCGCGCGTCCATGTAATCGCACCCTAAGCTTTAAGAAATTCACCAATCACAGTCAAGAATGAGGGAAATAATCAACGGTGATTGATCAATTTCTTAAGGCTTAGAGCTTATTACACCTATTGTAGACCTTAAATCATCTATTGTGCCTTAAAAAATTGACCAATCGCAGTCGAATATTTTTCTCATACTTGACTGTAATTGATCAATTTTTTAGGCCAGGTCCACAATCTTTGTCCACAGATGATTTAATCCCTGAAACTTAAGAAATTGACCAATCTTCTCCTCATACTTAATCGTGATATGTCAATTTCTTAAGGTTTAAAGTTTAAATTACATATTGTTGACTTGACGTCTTCTTCTCATACTTAATCGTGATATGTCAATTTCTTAAGGTTTAAAGTTTAAATTACCTATTGTTGACTTGGCGTAAATCATCTATTGTGGACCCGGCCTTAAGAAATTGACCAATCATAATCGAGTATTTTTCTCATACTTGACTGGGATTGGTCAATTTTTTAGGCCGGGTTTACAATAAGCACCAAGCCGTAATGAAATTACTGTTTTTCCGTAAAAACTATATATTAATTGGCTACACATTTCTTGGTCCGAGAATTCGGATCAATTTGTAGTATCGTGGACACAAGGATTAAGAAATTAACCAATCACAATGGAGTATACTCCTCACTACTTAACTGTGGACCAGTTGTTCCAACTCTTGGTAAGTTTTACCCGACATGTAGCATATCTTTGTCTCTTTTTTTAGAACTTATCTGAAAAGAAACGAAAATATGCTACCTGTCAGATAAAACTTACCGAGAAGTTGGAAAAATCGGCCTTGTGATCAGAATAGGTTTGTTCGCGTCGCATGTTCCAACTTGCTCCTTTTCACTCCAATGCGCTCGTATTGGTCCAATTCGAGGAGCGCACCAATACGAGCGCATTGGAGTAAGAAGGAGCATGTTGGGGCATGCGACGCGAACAAATCTTATAGCGTTTTCGATTGGGAAAAAGTTAGTGCGCACCAGTGCGCACTCAGTTCACACGAACACTGGACAAGTTCCATGGGTTGCACTGAATAGTGCAGATGAAAAAGAACACGCCGAAATTTTCAGTGCCACTTGAGTTGACTAGATTCCGGGAAGAACGAAAAAGTAACCTCGACATCTTGTGTTCAGTTAAGTAATGATTTTTATTATATGTAATTAAATATAGAAGATGATCAAGAATATCACGTATGACAAATATAAAAATTATTATTATTTAGTATAAAAATGCTATTACATTAAGTACATTAATTATATTTTAAAAAAGGGTATAGGTTCGATGTTTATATAAAAAGATATAACACTTACGGTGTCATTATCCATTTTTTTCACACATTCTACATAATTTACAGTTTTTGGAATTATTCTTCTAGTTCGAAGAGTTGTAATTATTTCTTCTTGCTCGCTTGAACTAGAAGAAGATTCCAAAAATGTCTCCAAAATATTAAAGAGAGCCAAATCCGAATTGCTCATTATGTCGAATTTTTGTTCAAAAGAATGCCCTACTGCTTGCATGCATCCAGTGCACTGAACTGGCACCGTCAAAATATCTCGTGCCACTTATTGCGCACTGAGTGCGCACTATGCGAGTGTTGTGCGTTCAAACGAACACGCAACACTAGCCAAGTGCGCATTGGCACTACCAATCGAACACGCGCCTGACATTCAGTGCAGCCAGTGCACCTCAATCGAAAACGCTATTATATTTCTTAAAGTTTATCTTTTAAATTATCTATGAACGTTTAAATTGAAAGGAAATCGTTCAATCACAATCCTTCATTGTCACCCCTAGAATAGAAACAAAGAATTCTGATCACAGATATCTATACTATAACTAGATCGTTAATTTCCATTGATTCTATTTTGTCAGAGAGAAGAATGGTCAAAACTCCACTATCGGCCCATGCGGATAGCAAATAATCTTCGCGCACGCGCAGACGCGAAAATCCTTCGCGCGCTTATTGAACGAACCCAGTCGGTGGTGGAGGGGGGTCGGCTATTGGTCGCGTGACGTATGACAGATGACATGCGCGGCGCCGGCCAATCGGGAGAATACCAGGGGACAAAACTCAGGTTCACCAGCAATATGGCTGTCAGTATAAATTTGATGCTTGTAACATGAGTTTCTCTCCGAGAAATTTGACAAGCGTAAGCATAGTTTCGCGTTACCCGCGACGTGATGTGATTTTAGCGTGCTCGGCGCGCTGGGAGACGGCAATGCGGGTTGGCTGAAGGCGAAAATTGGAAACCGGATTCTCCTGCGGGAGCGAGAAGAGGTACTAAGGACGACGATTGATCCCCCCCCCCCCTTTCCCTTCCGCATCGTCCGTTAGCATTTCCTGGACGTTAGCATTTCCCACGCGCCCTATTCATGTTCGGATCGCCCTCGCGATGATATTTTTCACCTGGGATTGCCCTCTCCCTTCACCCAACGAGATCCAGACGCGGAGATGCGGTCTCCAGCTGCGATCCCTGGCCAACGCCAGGTCGTGTACGCGCGCTTCGTCATCTCTCCGCCCTGTTCTCTTTCTTCCCGACTTCGTTTCTCCGGAAATTTCTGATTCTACCTTACCACTCGATCTTTATCTCATTTTCATCTCGCAAGCGGTTTTTTTAGTGCCTTATAATCGAGACTTCTTCCTAGACCAGAGGTCCAGGAAGTAACATTTTGTTTCCTTTTGTTGATTAACAATTTGTTAATTAATTGTGGATGAAAGTAAGCTGGGCATTTTTTATTCGACAATGATTTTCTTGTAGGTACTTTAGAAGTAAACAGTTTAGATATTGAGCTGATAATGTTGATTAAGTTGATACATATTACGTTTATAATGCAAAAGACCCTGCAACCAAATATATAGGATTTTGGTTTTCAATGGAACTGACTGATTTTTTCATATGTTGTAGCTTATGACTTGCTGAACAAAAGATGCAATAGTCTCTTGAAGCTGAATAATGGATAATTACTGACCTACAGCCACTCAAACATACTTGTGGAACCTGAGTTTTTCATGTTTGGTTGTAAACCAGCAATCATCTATTATTTAGCTTCTGAGTTCATTATGACTGTATTATGATATTAGTGAATGTAATAGTTATAATGTAAAGGACCTTGGATCAAATACATGGGATTTCGATAAAATTGGTTGATTTTTGTCGTGTAGTTTATGACTTGCTGAACAAAAGATTAACTTGTCTGGAAGCTGAATAATGGATAATTACTGAGTTACAGCCAAACAACTTGCAGAATCTAAGTTTTTTTGTACTTGACTTAGCTGTAAACCATGTAGCTTTTGAGTTTATTATCATTGAGTTACAATATTCACTGCCAGTACTGAAATTCTATAGTCTATGTTATGTTACTATAGACTTTCAGTACTGGCAGTAAATATTGGAATACAGCCTCAGTTTTTGTACAGCAGATCATAAGCTGCAACATATGAGAAAACCAACTGATTATTAAAATTCAATTTTATACAGGGTAGTGTGAAAGGTTTTTGATATATAAAATTGTAGATGAAATTGAATCGTAGATAAAATAAAAAAAATTGTAATTATTTGTTTCTCTGATTTAAGGTATTCGTGGACAGTCTATATTCAGCAATATTAAATCATCATGACCTCAAGGTATATTTTTACTAAAAGTATATAATTTTTGTAGGATTCAGCTTTGGATGCGCATGTGATCTGCCATTGTTTATAATCGTCTCCTTTAGTTTTTAATTGTTTATTTTCAGAAATATAAAGTGCTAAGAACACATGAGTATTCAAGTTAAACTTATCTAGTGAATGTTTTGAATAGATAAATAAGGATTAATTTAAAGATGTTTAACATTAACATATATATCTGTATAATATACATTTATGTAACTACGTCCGTATAAACAATATAAGCATGTAAAGTAATATATCATATAAGCTTCTTACTCTCTATCGATGAAATATGTTATGCAAATATTTTATCGCTTGTAATTTATTTTTACAGATTGGATAGATTATTTATACTGTTGGAGACTGGAACAAATGCAGTAACCAAACGAGCAGCTGCGCAACAGCTGGGTGAAGCGCAGAGATTACATCCTCATGACCTGCATCATTTATTAGCAAGAGTCTCCACTTTATTAAAATCACCACAATGGGATACTCGAGTATCAGCGGCTCATGCTGTGCAAGCTATACTTGCTCAAGTTCCACCCTGGGGGCCAGAATCTATTAAGATAGAAGCGTCTGCAAGTAATATTACACTTTCATTGATCTTTACATTTCTGCTAACAAGGTATATACTCTCGGGAGAAACCTGAAAAACCTAGAATTCTCAGAAAATTTTTTTTTCTACCTTGAAAATCCTGGAATAATTTATGGAATGTATTTTGAACTCAGGGAATTTTTTTTTTTAAATTGCTCCTTTGGTTTTATTTTCAAATATACCTTTAAAGAATATAAAATTTATTAAATTTATATAAATTATATATTAAAATAGATTTTATTATAAAATATAATATTACATTACATTATTATATTAAAAAATATTTTATTTATAAATTATGTATAACAAAAATAAACTTAATTTCAAATTGTATTTAACATTTTTTTAAATACTTTAATTTTACTTAGAATTTTGAACAAAAGTACCTGGAAAATCATGGAGTTTATAAGATTTGAGTATACACCTTGTATAAATTAAATATCTGTGAAAGATTTAATTATACGATACACATTATTAATCATCTTGAATTTTTAATAGATGATTTGGAGGTGACAAAACAAAAATTTCCCACCGCTAGATTAAATTTGAAGTCCTTCGATATGGGCAGGGTTCTAGCGCGTAGTTCACATCTTACCGGATCGGAGGGTAGCGAATACGATTTAACCATAACGGAGGGCGAGCAATTGTCGCTTCCTAATCAGCAGGAAAAATTAGCCGCAAAACTGGGCTTTCATCCACGTCTGATGGGCGTCGACACCGCTGATTTGTTTACCGTCGAGGATCTTACCCCAGTGATGCAGACAACGCCGCAAGTCACTACGGTGCCTGTCGACGAGACTCTGAATCAACCAGGAGGATTGAGTAGAAGAGAAATGAACAGAGCGAAACGAAAAGTATGATACACTTTTGACCTCTTATTTATAACTAAACTTAGGATTATATACAAATTGCATATTTATTTCTTTTTACATATTCTATAAGATTATCAATGTGAACAAATTATGTTTTCAATTAATTAATATTAATTAGTTGAAAATATAATTTTTTCACATTATCAATGCCTTAGTAGAATGTGCAAAACGTAATAAATATTTACAATCTGAAGTCTATTTATAACACTGTTCAACAAAAAGAAAAACACCGACACGAAACTAGTCGTTTCTTATAATTTTTTTAGACGTTGAACACGAATCTGTCCTCAAAATTGCTCCATCTCATCATAATTTTAAGAGACATGCAATTAAAGTTGCAAAAATGGGCTATTTTCACGAATTTTGTCATATAGTTACGATATGCGACATGCTAAAGAAGTTTTTTGCCACCAAAATAAAGTATATTGTCAGGACTTTCAACCCTCAATAGGAATTTTCAATGTCGATTATAAGACATTTATAGTTGAATAAGAGGTATTGCGCAGAGATTAGCTGTGACTTACTTAGGTTGACGAGTTACAAACAGTTTTATATTATGTTTATTTATTCTTAAAGGTCTTTTAGGTCACTAAATATGAAATCAATGTCAAAATTGTCAAATTCAAAATGGTACTAAATATAGGAGATGTAAGAATTAGAAAAAATTTTTTTTTTTTTTTATAAATCCACCATTTTGACAATTTTGACATTGGATTTGTAATCAGTGACCTAAAAGATCTTTAAGAATAAATAAACAATTTAAAATAGTTTGTAACTTATCAACCTAAGTCAGTCACTTGTTTAGTCAACTAACTTCTGCAATACCTTGTATTCAACTATGGATATCTTATGAATCATAACCGAAAATTCCTAATGACTGCGTTCGGAAATTACATCTGACACGTCGGAGTGTCATTCTATCTTTGTTCAACTTTCTGCAAGTAACAAAGATAGAATGACACTCCGACGTGTCAGAGTGTAATTTTTGAACGCAGCTATTGAGGGTTAAAAGTTCCAACAATATACTTTATTTAGCAAGCAAACTTCTTTAGCACGTCGCATATTGTAGCTATAATATGACAACATTCGTGAAAATAGCTCTTTTTGCAACTTTAATTGCAAATTTCTTAAAATTGTAACGTGATTGAGCAATTTTGAAAACAGATTCATGTCCAGTGTCCAAAAAACTACAAGAAACGACTAGTCATTTTTTTGTTGAACAGTAATCAGCATTTCCTTTAAGTTACTGATCAAGTTATCCAAGCGAATAAACTGTTTCGACAAATTGCTTCATTCGTAAATATTTATAGTGCAAATATAAAATTGTATGTAATTCAAACCTTGATGATGTAGGCACGTCAGTCAGTGTCAAAGCAGCGGTCGCGCGAACCAGACGATCATCGTGTCAGCGACGACCATTCGAATTCGACGAACGTTCAATCGCCAGTGAATAATACCGAACCTCCGAACAAAAAAATCATATTAGAGGATATGATCTCATCGGATGCTGGCTCGAAATGCAGCGCATCTAGCGAGTTAGTAAGCGGAGTGCCGGATGGGACCGGATGTTGGCCAGATTCGGTGATAGATTGGCCTTTGGAGCCTTTCGCAGAGAGTCTCTGCCAGGATCTGTTCAGTCAGAAGTGGGAAGTGCGTCATGGGGCGGCGACAGCTTTACGAGAACTCATAAGACTACATGGAAAGGGTGCGTTAAACTGTGCCTCATTGACGTCTCTGTACAGCCTTGGCCAAAAGTGTTAGGCACTCTATAATAATCCTTTTATCTTATGTTTCCATGTAAAGAAGATATGAAATCATAGAATTTATAAGAATATAAAGACTTAAAGGATTTAAGATTTTAAGAATTTATAAGGATTTAAAGGAAAGTGTATTTTATTGTTTTATCAATATTTAGAGGCTCCTTCTTTTGCTTTAATTACAGCAGTAATTTCTTTTGGGCATAGTGCTTACTAATTGACAACATTGTTCTGGTGCTGTCATGTTTCATTCTTTCTTTAAAGCAAGTTTAGGGTATTTCTTGAAAAATGCGCACTAATATATTTAATAATAGATTAGAACTATCACTCCAAAAGTGTAAATATAGCAATTAAAGTAAATCAGTTTTTTGACCCATTAACCATATCTATGGTTAAAAATACTCTTTAACATTTCAATATAATAAAAATTAACAATAGAATCATTTCCAATATTCAAAAGAAATCTCATAAAAATCAAGGTGGCTAATACTTTTGGTCAAGACTGTATTTTTCTTTTCCCAATAATAAAAAAAATTCTCAATAAAAATATTTAATGCACAGGAGCGGGTAAATCGAGAGCTCAGACCGTAGAAGAGATGCAGCAGAGCCATCACGAGTGGATAACCGACGCCGCTTTACGATTATTGTGCGTACTAGGGCTCGATCGATTTGGAGACTTCGTTTCCGATCAGGTTGTCGCACCGGTGCGGGAAACATGCGCCCAAGCGTTGGGATCGCTCTTTTTGTTAATACCCGGCGGCCAGGACGCGAAGGATAAGGACGGGATGTTTCATGGAATACTCTCCATAGTGCTGAAACTCCTGGGACACGACGAGTGGGAGGCCAGACACGGCGCGCTTCTCGCGCTCAAGTATCTACTCGCCGTGCGGGATGATTTGTTGGACGAGATACTGCCGCGGGTGTTCCCCGCTATTATACAAGGACTCTCCGATCCTGTGGACGACGTGGGCGCGGCCGCGGCGAGCGCGCTCATACCGGTAGCGCACGCCCTACCACGATTGTTGAAAGGAGCGGAATTGGAGGCGATCGTGACGCGACTCTGGCAGTTGTTGAAGGAACAGGATGACTTGGCTGCCGCCTGCAACAGTTTCATGGGCCTTCTGGCCGCGATACTATCATTGCCGGCGGCGCACGCTTGCTTGACACCGCAACCGTTGTCGCAGGTATCCGATATCAATTAGGTTTCACCATCTTTGGTTGAATTAATTGGCAAATTAAAGGCCTCTGCACGATCCTTATGGAAATTGGATTTCGGTGGAATTGGCTGGTTTTATCGTATGTGTAAGTTTATGATCTACTGAACAAAAGATGTAATTAGCCTTAAAGCTAAATAATGAACAGTTACTGAACTATAGAGCTCGAGCTTTTCATGTTTGACTGGCTTTAAATCAGTAACTGTTTATCATTTAGTTTTGAGTCTCGTGAGAAAAGCAACTGATTTTATCGAGATCCAAAGGACTTTGCAAAATTCTTATGGAAATTGAATTTCGATGGAATTGGCTGGTTTTATCGTATGTTGTAGCTTATGATTTGCTGAACGAAAGATGTAATAGTTTAGGTTGTACAAGTTGTTTAACTGATTGTAATTCATTGTCAGTAACTGTTCATTATTTAGTTCGAAATCCAATTTCCCAATTCCCGATTAAAAATCGATTTTTAATCGAAATCCATTTCACATAAGATTAATATAGAGTACTTTAAGAATTACCAATTGCAAGGCATAAACATCTTATTGTAAATGTAGGTAAAGTTGATTAGTTTTAAGCTTTGCAGTTGCAATTCTTAAAGAACTCTGCACAATTCTTATTACTTTTCACAATTTCGAAGAATATTGATATTAATAAATTCAATGATGTCTATTCAGGTATTACCACGCCTGTGGTCGTTTTTGAGCCACTCGAGTTCGAGCGTGCGCAAAGCCACGCTGTGCACGCTGCAGACTCTGACCGAGGACGACGGCGGCGATCGCAGCGAGGACAAAAAGAACGATGGGGCGAGGGCGGCGGGCTAGTTCTGCAGGAAGCCCTGCGACACGTGTTCCAATGCGCGCTGATCGAGCACATCAGCGCGATTCAAGACGTGGCCGAGCGTGTCTGGGAGAATCTAGTCGTACAGAGTGATCTCGAGTTGTTGCTACACGCGGCCTGTCCGCATGTCAGTACCTGGCTCTGCTTGGCTATGCAGCCGGAACACGTGCCATTCAACCTGAACCTATTGATGACCGTGAGCAGCAGCGTCCCCAAGGGTGGCGCGAAGAATAATCAAGCGGTCGTCTACCAAGACGGTCAATCGACGCTGGATACCGGCAACAATTGCGCCGGGAACGTGATGAACGCGACCGCGAAGACCCTGTCCGAGCTGAAGATGTACATCGGCGGCATCGAGACAGTCGCGCTCAACGTACGGAAGGCGAACGTGGTGCAGGCGCGTTGCAGAGCGTCCCGTATGTTGGGACTGTTGTCGCACTACGTCGTGCAGCCCGCACCAGGCGTCGTTTATCCGCCGGACGTGCCCAGCCCGGCAATTTGTTACGCCAAGGTGTTGCTGGCGCATCTCAACTCGCGATCAGCATTGCAACGCACGATCGCAGGACTCACGATGTCTCATTGGGCGACCATGGCTCCCATTAGGCCGCCAGTGGTACCGGATATACTCAGGTATATAAAGATATACAGGGGGCATTGGAAATTGCTGAAACTAATCAGCTGTCATTTTTTAATGATAACTTATTATCAATAAAATAAACTGGTATACAAATATTTTATTTATATCGATTAAAAACTGCAGACTTTCCTCTTTCCAACACAATTTTTGTTTTTCTAATAACTGCATACATTAAAAAATGACAGCTGATTAGTTTCAGCATTTTCTATGAGACACCCTGTAAATTTTTTTATTGCTTTAATATTTATACTGTAATATTTTATAGGATGTATCTACAAAAAGTGTTGATATTTAATTTTATGAAAACTACGCATTTTTTTTTTTTTACAAAAATGTTTTAGACAGAGTTGTAGGCTTTGAACAATTCTATTGGGTCCAATTTGATCTTAAGATTCCTGGATCCTCACTGCAGCAATGTTATATTGTGACGTCAGAGGCGAGAAAGCACATGCTGAAAATTCTTAGATGCCATTTTTAAATGACGAAATAAAGATATTTCGAAGTGGCTAAGCATTTTTAGGGTGTTTTGTTGCATCTAACGTCACAATTCCAACATTGGTGAGGATCCAGGAGCCTTAAGTGACGCCGTCGAGATCAGGACAAAATCATCTTGAATTTTGTAAATGGAGTTACCGTTGCTTTTTTTCATATATAAATTAATTCCTCGTAACATTCGATATAAAAAATTATAGGATGACCAAAAAGTGAATAATCAAGAGATATTTTATATTTTGACATAATCTTGTATAAACTATGAAATATTTCATAACATTTTCATTTTTTAATGATCTTACCTCAATACTTTTTATGCCAAATAATATGAGAAATCAATTGATGTAAAAAAATTAGGATAATTCCATTTAAAAATTCAAGGTAATCTTGTCCTGATCTTGGTAGCCAAGGTCAAACTAATAAAAAAATAATAAATAGATCTTTTTAAACTCTACAACCTTTTTCTGAAAATTTTTTTCGAAAATGCACTTTGCGCACCCTGTATATTAATAATAAGAACCGTGTTTCTCTTTAATAGTGACCGACTGTTGGGCTGTTTGAACGAGTGCATGTACTACGACGAAATTGCGGCCTCCTTCACTCGACTACTGCACGAAAGTCGCGATTACATCGCGACTTTGAAGCATTACAAGTTACCAGTCCCGATCGACGTGGATTCGTCCGGTGTGATGACTTTGGAGCAGATCGCGGCCCTCGCCGGAAAGACCATCCCGACTCTCTGCAGCACCGGAGCAGGCGGAACCGGAAGCATTAGCAATTGCGCGATGCCCAAACTGAAGCCTAAGTTAATAGAGAGTCTGGAGGAAAGGAGGCGAGCGTTGGACGTCGGAGCGACCGCGACGGCGGCTCAACAGCAATCGTTGCACGTGATGTCGATGGCCGCGCTGGCTGGCGCCGCCACGATGCTGCATTGCCTTCCTCAGCCGCCCCAGCCACTCAATCCGCTGGTGAAACCGCTGATGGAGGCTGTGAAACGGGAGGAGAATGAGGAACTGCAGAAGCTGGCTGCAAAGCACCTATCTCATCTAGTCGAGCTTTGCGTCGACAGAAAACCCTCTCCAAACGCAAAGGTTTGCGTGTGAAACAATACACTGTTTCCCAGACAGTACAAAATATTTATGAAATATTTACAAAATATTAGTAATATATATTTTAACATATTTTATAAAAATATTTATAAAAAAATGTTTATAAAATATTTACAAAATATTTATAATAATTATTTTAACATTTTATAAATATTTGTCATAATTATTTTAATATTTTATAAATATTTATTATATAAATATTTTATAAATTTTTTTAGGATCTTAAATTCAAGAGATCATAAATATTTAACATAAATGTCAGAAAAATATTCATCATATATATATATTTACCACATATACATATATACTATTTTATAAATATTTATTATACTATAATATTTTATAAATATTTATTATAAATATTTTATAAATTTTTTTAGGATCTTAAATTCAAGAGATCATAAATATTGTTTAACATAAATGTCAGAAAAATATTTATCATAAATGTGGTAAATATATATATATATATATATATATATATATATATATATATATATATATATACCACATATACATATATACATATATGTATGTGTGCGTGCGTGCGTGCGCGCGCGCGTGTGTATGTGTATGTGTATGCATGTATATATATTTCCAAATCTCAACATATTTAATAAACCTTAACACAATGAGAAATCATCAATTAAAAAGACAATATATTCGCAGATTTCTACCAACTTATGTACATTCCTGTGTTCCGATGTGGAATTCACACCGCGAATATACACCGCCGGCGACACCGATATCTTCGATGGAATACTCACTTTGAATAACAGACAGAAGCACGCCGAGAGGATAGCCTATAATCGCGGCGCGGGTAGTGGACTCGGCGGTGGACGAGGTCCCGGTAGGCCACCAACGACCGAGATTCCTCTGGAAGAATTGCTCGCTTGCGAGGAACCGGAAGCCAAAGCCGCGAGAACACGCCGTCGTGGAGCTACTCTAGCATTAACAGCTATAGGTATACAGAGTGTCCAAATCTTACCGTAGCATATATTTATAGGAGACTTCTAAGGTTATTATTTAGAGACGATTTTTCCTCGACAAAAATATCGAGGAAGGTCATTTTTTTTAAGGTTCCCAATTTTTGAAATTCTGTATCCTTGTAACTAATTGTAAGCCTTAAAAATTAAAATTCTATTAAAGTAAACTTTACCTGAAATTAACTAAAAAATGTAGTTTTATTAATGGTGTATACTTCCGGGAAAAGGCTGGAAAATCTGTAATTCTCAGGCAATTTTTTTTCTTGAAAATCCTTGAAAAATCCTGGAATACTCATGGAATTTATTTCGAACTCAGGGTATTTTTTTTTAAATTGTCCCTTTGATTTTATTTTTAAATATACCTTTAAAGAATATAAAATTTATTAAGTTTATATAAAGTATATTAAAGTATATTTTATTATAAAATATAATATTATATTATTATATTAAAAAATATTTTATTTATGTTAAAAAATTATGTATAACAAAAATTAACTTAATTTAAAATTGTATTTAAAATTTTTTAAATACTTTAATTTTACTTGGAATTTTGAACAAAAGTACACACTTGGAAAATTATGAAATTTATTTATAAGATTTGAGTATGCACCATGGATATGTAATTAACATTTATTGAACGATTCGTATTTTATCCATTTTTCGCGTATCTAAAGAACGTTTTTTCTTGTATTCTTGAAGCTACTCTCTTCGGAGCGCGATTATCCGAGCGTCTGCCTCAGTTATGGGATCTGATCTTACCGGACGTGCTAAGAGACACGAACAAGCAGGATAACGTGAAAGAAGAGGATGGGAACCAATTGATCTTTGGCTTGCAAGTTTTGGAGATCATGGCACCGAGTTTGGATAAATCTCTCCTGCCGCCCGCGCTGGAGTGTCTGCCGCGTTTGTGCAAATTATTGGCGCATCCGTACAAAGCTGTCAGGCATATGGCTTCGCGGTGTATAGCTACATTAGCTACTCTAAATGCGGAGAAGGTAATACTTAAGGGATTGCATACTTTTCTGGCTGTTTGCTGTTATCTAAATAAAATTGTATAGATCATCTAGTTGAAACTTTAGCGTCATCTTATCTTTATATAGATAATAAAAATGTGTATTATCTATATATGCATTTAAATGAAAATAAGTGTTATGTTTACTAAATTATCTAGAATAATTTTCAGATAATTTTGGTTTTAGAATCCATAAAATACATAATACATAAAAATACTTAAATAGTAGAACTTAAGCAGTAAACGATAAAAATTTATACATAAAAGTATGAATACATATATTTTTATATCCCTTTTATAATTTACATTTTTTTATAACTGTATTTACATAAGCAGTCTTAAAAATTATCTAGAAAATTATCTAGATGAATTGCCATATAATTTTATATTTTATCTACCTTGATATTACGTTTTTGAAAATAAATTTTTTTTTCTTCCAGACAATGGTACACATAATACGAAGCGTCATACCGCTTCTGGAGACAACCGGCAGCGAAAGAAAAGGTCCCTCGGGGATAGTGATGCCGACCAAGGTTTATTCCATACGTCAGGGAGCCGCGGAAGCTCTGACCTGCGTCGTAGAGAGCTTAGGCGTACAAGTGATACCTTACGCTGTACTATTCATGGTACCTTTACTCGGACGCATGAGCGACCAGAATCAAGCTGTCAGATTGGTTTGCAGCGCGACATTCGCTACCCTTGTGCAGCTGTTACCGCTTGATCCCGGCGCGATCATCGATCCACCGGATTTGGTGTACGTTATAAATACGTTTTTGACGCAGGAACCTCGCAAACTTGAAAATTCTAATTTTCATGAAATTTTAAGCACGTGTAGGGAGGGGAGATAAATAGGCGAATTTGAGATTTTTAACTGAGGCTTAAAAACGATTATAAAGTTATTTTTTATTTTTATTATATATTACTCAGGGTATCTAATTTTAATCGACTAATTCCACAAAATTTTTTTTATTTTTGATTGTACAGCAAAATGTTTTAAACAAAAGTTGTTTAATTTGAGAGGGGATAAAAAATGGTTACTGACTTTTCTAAAGGGCGTTTTTCAAGGTCATTTGAAGATCATTGTTTTTTAAAATGGGAATTGGAAAGGGGACAGAAAATGGTTACTGTCTTTTTTCTGAACGGTGTTTTTCAAGGTTATTTGAAGGTCATTTATGTTTTTTTAAATGGAATTACTACAATTTTTTATATAAATCGATTCCTTGCAATTTTCATTATAAGGGTAAGATGGCCAAAAAATGAATAGTTCGCGCGATATTTTATATCTAAAAATATCTAAAGGTACATAAACTATGAAATATTTTATATCTTAACTCAATACTTTTATAAAATAATGAAAAGAATCAATTGGCGTAAAAACACATAGTTTATAAGAAAAAATATGCAGCTATTCTAGTTGCAAATTATATACATTTTACTCTTATAACTTTTTATACAGAACATAGCGAGAAATCGATTTATATAAAAAAATTATAGTAATTCCATTTAAGGGGGGATTCTAGTGTAACAGGCCAAAAAATAAGCGATGTTTAAGATTTTTTTCTAGAAAACTATTAATGATAGCCAAATAAAACTTTTTGGGATAAAAAGAGACCTTCTTAAGGTATCAAAAAATTTTAATTATTTTCAATTTGCATTATTTAATTTCAATATATAATATATAATCTGGACCCCTCTCTGAAATTTCCCGTCCATTGGCGGGCGTTGTAATGTTCTTCTCGGTTATCTGAAAGCAAAAAGCGAAATATTTTCTTAAAGTTAGATATTTTCCGCTAGTATTATACCTCCCTAACAAAGAAAAAATAATAAATTAAACAAGTTGTAGCGTTTAAAAAATTTTTTTTTTTTTTAATATAAATTTGATCATATATTGATCAAAAAATGTTATAAATAAGTGCAATAAACATAAAATGATAGGTATAGTACCTAAAGAAATTTATAACGAATTGAACAAAACTTGACCAAAGTTGATCGGTTTATTAGTTCTCAAGTTATCACGCCCGCCAACTTAAAAAACATGGTTTTGAGAAAAACGCGTTTAAAGTTTTAGATAAAGTTTCACGATACTTACCGCTGAAAAATCGACTTGAACGTTTATTCTGCTATTCCGGCCCCATACATTAAACCTTCTTCTTCTTCTAAAAAGTCTTGTAATACTGTTTTCTCCATTCTTCTGGCTGTACGAGCCTCTTTAGTGCTTTCTAAGCTACGCCGGTGTGCATTCAATAGTCGTTTGTCATTATGATCTTCGGCAAATGTTTTGCTCTGTTGTCCAATAATAATGCCCATTGTTTCCATCATTTTTAATATCGGAAAATAACCTTCATTAAATATTGCGGTAGCCAGATAAGCAGCAATTTCTATAGTCTTTGAACCACAGTGGAGATGTTTCGGAGCTAGACGCCAAATGCATGCGTTAAAACTTTCGTTACAATTTTGAGTGTATCCACCTAAACATCTTTGTAATAATTCATCTTTGGACAGATCTTCATAAATTGACAACAGATGATCTTGAACACTTTTATGAAAAGCAGGCTGATGCTCAAACTCGTCAAGTTTTCCAGTCGCTTCTGCAACTCGCCACTTACACCAGCTTTCAGCTCCCAGTGGACAATATTGATGTTGCGGATTTTCTTCTGTCGAACACATATGATAATAAGTAGTCATTATGGCTTTCTTCATATCACTTACGGAATCTGAATGCCTTCTTATCGCCAATCCATAATATTTTGTTAATTTTTTTATAAGTGCGTCTGTCAATTTTCCTTTTTCTCCAAGTTTCGCTACTTTTTAATATTTCTCAATCGAGTACCCATTCGTTTTTCTACGTGTCCGACACATTCACTTTTTTTTAATATTACATCTTGGCCATAAGGTTGTAAATCCAGAAGTGCTCTAAAAGTTTTCGAATCACCATCACCGACATAATTAACATATTTTACACCAAATTTTTCTTCAGATCTTAAAAACATTTCTTGCATTGAATCCACCTCCATTTTTCCAGCTAATTCAGAATGATTAATGGTGCATGTTTCTTCATGAGTCTCGAGCCATTCAAAATATTCCGGAGTATTCTTTTTATTTTTCCAAAATGTGCAAGATTGGCAGTAACTGCTTTTTACAATAAGGTCAATTATTTTTCCAGTGTTTAGTCCTATAAGCGTTGTCACACCAAATAATGACGAAAAACCACGCTTTTTCCACGTTCCATCACCAGAAACTGTGAAATTTACAGCTGGATTTTCTTTCTGTGAAATTAATTCCTTTTCTTCTTCTGCTGCTTTGCGACATAACGCATGGAAAACTGCATTTGCTGCAGTGTGAATATTTTCTACAGCAGCCGTAATACACAGAAACATTCAATCCTTTCCAACATATATCCATGAGACCACAGAAAATATTAATACCTTCTCTACAAATTCCCAACAGTCTCATAACAAATACTATTCTTCGATTGATTTCATAGGCATTATTTACAAAAGGACCTGAGTCAATTTTTCTTATACCACATGAGCATGTAATGACAATTTTGAAACCCAATCCACGATTTCCCGTTTCAGCTAAATTTATATCTTTTTTACATTCTTTACAAATTAACATTTGTGAAAGAGCGCTGTAAACGGTAAAGATTTCGATGAATCTGTAGCCATGAGTTTGATTTATAAAAAAATCACAATCCGTAGATTTCAGTTTTTTGCAGCAGACGACGTTGCTTCAGTTTCCTCTTCTAATGTATGCTGATTTCCTTGGAAACGTTTTCTTCGCGGTTTTGTTGCACGAAAATTTCCAAATTTCCACCTTTGCGAGGCATCTTTCTACTTTTTACGTTGAACACGTCTGTATCGGTCGAAAGGTGAAACGATACTGAGGAACTGCCTACAGTAGCCTGTACAAACCTGTTTCACACACATACACAAACGTGTTTGTGTGTGAATAGAAAAATACTTTCAAAAGATCACAAACATAACAATAGCCGACCCTAAATATTGATTGACTGCCTGCTGTTTGGAACTCTGACGCGTCTCACTAAACAGAGCTATAACTTCTTTATTTTTGCGAATTCGACTTTAAAACTGTAGGAGCGTATTTTTAAGATGTTATACTTTTAATTTATGCAAAAAAAATTTCGATTTTTTTGACCCGTTACACTAGAATCCCCTCTTAAAGAAACATTATCTTCAAATAACCTTGAGAAACACTACAGAAAAAAGTGAGCAGTTCCACTTTCTGCTCTTTTTAAATCGAACAACTTTTATTTGAAACATTTTGTTGTACAATCAAAAATTTAAGTTTTTGAGGGATGAACGATTAAAATTGGACACCTTGTAAATTTATTAATATAGTAAATAGAAGTGTTTTTTTATCATGAAAATATTTTGCACAAAACTTTTTATATCTCGAATACTTTTCAAAAAAAACAAAAAACCGTTCTACATATAAAAGATGGTTATCCCTTAGACCGTTTTCAGACTACAATTATAAATATCTCAGTACATATATTTATCCCCTTTATGTGTATAGTTTCATAAAAATTGGAATATTTCGGCGAGGTTTTTTTTAATAAGATTATACATAAGAAAGACAGCAAGTACAGGGTATCCCATAGGAATATGCTGAAACTATTCGCTGTCATTTTTTAATGCATACGGTTATTGAGATAACAAAAATAGTGTTGAAAAGAGGAAAGTCTGCAATTTTTAAGTTGAATATAAATAAAATATTTGTAAACCAGTTTATTTTATTGATAAAAAGTAATGAAAAAGTGCTAATAATCATATAAACTAATGATAATATTTTCAACAGTGCCAGATTTAATAGCAGCTATTAAAAGGATCGTCAATTCCTTTCTATAACATTAAAAATGACATGTTAGAAAAAGTTTTTATAAATTTTCAGAATTTTGTACAAATTCAAATGGCGCACTTCGAAAATATTTATCTCTAGCTTATATGTACATATATGTGATTTTATAAGCACTTTTTTCATTACTTTTTATCTATAAAATAAATTGGTATACATTTTATTTATATCCATTAAAAACTGCAAATTTTCCTCTTTCCAACACAATTTTTGTTTTCTCAATAACTGCATGCATTAAAAATATGACAGCTGATTAGTTTCCGCAATTTCTTATGGGACACCCTGTACATTTAGTATATGTAACGAAATTTTTGAAAAATTGCTTTAATTTTTTAAATTTATAATACTGATTAATTCCAAGCGATATTTCAATAATTATCCAATAATTATTAAATTAAAACTTATATTATTAACGCGAGCTGTACAAAATTATTGTCTTCTTTACTAATTGTGTTTATCGTCAAAAATATAATCAAATATGAGGCTTCTGAGTACTTGCCGTGGCTATGTTAGATTATGACGTCAAAGAACGCATACGCTAAAGAGAATTCTTAGATGCCATTTCGAAATTAAAAGATATTTCGATGAAACGACACATCAAAACTACTTTTTCCCTTTATAATGAATCAACAGCTATAAAATAATTGTAATATGAGAATTTTTACCGTGTGTTTTCTCGCCTCTGATGACGTCACAATTCCAACGTAATTGCCGACGACTCAGGACCCTTAAAAGTAAACTGAACGATCCTCAATCCTAAAATTTCGCGTTTTAACTATATTAAATTAATTATATTAAATATTTATATATTTAAGTATATCTAATATATTAAATATTTATAATTAATATTAAACATTTATATAATATTTATATTAAATATAATATTAAATATCAGATTTATATTATATTATTATTATTAAATATAATGTTAAATATTTATATACTAATATTAAATATAATCAGAAAGAAATATTTTATTGGCTCTCAATACTAAGAATATAAATATGATGTTTTTTAAATCGGCCAACAGAGCCAAAGCACGAAAAATTAATTATTCGGAACTGTATCTCTTGGTTTGAGATTACTAAGTTCCATATATAAATTAATCTCAAAACTTACATATGGAGAAATAAGCGCGAAAAAAATAGGTCCGAAAAGTCGCTGAAGCGGGAAACGAACCCGCGTCTTTCATTTTCCGGGCGACTGCTCTTACCAACTAAGCTATTCAGACCCTTTCGATCCTATATTTTTCATTTGCCTTTTAGCAGATGTTAGTAAATAACGCCGTGATTAAGCCAAGGCGTGAATAAAATCAGAAAGAAATATTTTTATCGGCTCTCAATATTAAGAATATAAATGTATCTATATGTAAGTTTTGAGATTAATTTATATATGGAACTTACGTTAGTGATCTCAAACCAAGAGATACAGTTCCGAATAATTCATTTTTCATGCTTTGGCTCTGTTGGCCGATTTAAAAAGCATCATATTTATATTATTAAATATAATGTTAAATATTTATATAATATTAATATTAAATATTTATATAATATTAAATAGACAAGAGAAGGCGCAGGAGCGGAAGTTTTTGGACCAGCTTCTGAATCCTCGAAGTATCCCCAATACGGAGCTGCCAATTCCCGTAGCCGCGGAGCTGCGCTCTTATCAGCATCAGGGCTTGAACTGGCTGAATTTCCTGAATCGTTACCACCTTCACGGGGTTCTGTGCGACGACATGGGCCTAGGAAAAACGTTGCAGACCCTCTGCATCCTGGCCTTGGATCATCATCGTCATCCGCAGGCCCCGACCAGCCTCGTGGTGTGTCCGCCGACTCTTACCGGTCACTGGGTGTACGAAGCCGAGAAGTTCTTCAAGATCCGAGATCTCTCGGTTATGCAGTACGCCGGAACGCCGCAGGACCGGGAGAAGCTACGTCCCCGGGTGCCGCATCACAGACTCGTCGTCGCGAGTTACGACATTGTGCGAAAGGACATCGAGTTCTTTGAGGCGCAGCAATGGAATTACTGCGTGCTCGACGAGGGCCACGTGATAAAAAACGGGAAGACAAAGAGCGCGAAAGCTGTGAAACGACTACACGCCAATCACAGGCTCATATTGTCCGGCACACCAGTACAGAATGATGTATTGGAATTGTGGTCCCTGTTTGACTTCCTGATGCCAGGTTTCCTCGGCAGCGAGAAACAATTCGCCGCCAGGTACTCCCGTCCCATTCTGGCATGCAGAGAACCGAAGGCAGGTCCGAAGGAACAGGAGGCTGGCGCTTTAGCTATGGAGGCTCTTCATCGGCAGGTTGGTTTACAGTTCTCCAAGGTGTATACTCCCTGGAATTCTCAGGGAATTTTGTTCTACTTTGAAAAATTATGGAATTATGGAATTTGATTTGAACTCGGGGAATTTAAAAAAATTGTCTCTTTGATTTTATTTTTAAATATACCTTTAAAGAATATAAAATTTATTAAGTTTATATAAAGCATATTAAAATATAATTTTATTATAATATAATACTGTATTACATTATATTAAATTTATATCAAAAAATATATTAAATATATTAAATTATATTTAAAAATACTTCATTTTATGTTAAAAAATTATGTATAACATATACAAACTTATTTCAAAATTTTATTCTAAATATTATTTAAAATACTTTAATTTTACCTGGAATTTTGAACAAAAGTACCTGAAAAATTATGGAATCGTCAGGGAATTTATTTGTAAGATTTGAGTATACACCTTGTTTTTTAAATAATTTTTAAATAAAATAAATAAATACCTCGTTTTGGATTTAGATTATAAGAGATGGATTTTATGCAGGTACTGCCGTTCTTGCTGAGACGAAACAAGGAGGACGTGCTACAAGATTTGCCTCCGAAAATCACGCAGGATTATTACTGCGATTTGTCGCCTTTGCAACGTATACTTTACGAGGATTTTCGAACCCGTCATTCGGCTACTCTCGCTTCCGGCTCCTCGTCCTCGAGCGATCCTCAAAGCGGTCACGTATTCGAGGCGCTGCGATACCTGCGTAATGTCTGCAATCATCCTAAGCTGGTGCTAAGTCAACGCCATCCACTTTATCAATCGGTACATACATATATACATGTTTTTTTAATTTTTAATTTAAAAAAATTTTTATATTTTACATATTTTGTATTTTTTTATATACTTATTTATTTTTTCTTTATTATTTAAATATTTTCGCGTCGATAGGCGTACTTTTATTTTTATTTTACTTTTTATTTTTATTATGACTATATTAAATTAATTATATTAAATATTTATATATTATATATTACATATTACATATAATATATTAAATATTTATATAATATTAATATTAATTATAATATTAAGTATTTATATTAAATATCAAAGGCTATATTAAATTATTCGGAATTTTTTAGGTGTGCGATACCTTGAAGCAACAACAAAGCACCCTGGCGGAGATCGAACACGGCGCCAAGTTGCCGGCGTTGAAGCAGCTGTTACTGGATTGCGGTATCGGGCAGCAACAGCAGCAGCAGCAGCTGATTCGCTCGAATTCCTCGGTCAACGCGAGTCTCGCCGTGGAAAGCGCCCAGGAGCAGCAACTAGTCAGCCAACATCGCGCTCTGATTTTCTGCCAGTTGAAAGCGATGCTCGACATCGTGGAAAAGGACTTGTTGCGCGCCCACCTGCCGACGGTGACTTACCTTCGTCTGGACGGTAGCGTCCCAGCGGCGCAGAGGCACTCGGTTGTGGCGCGCTTCAACGCCGACCCGTCGATAGACGTTCTCCTGCTGACTACCCAGGTCGGCGGGCTCGGATTGAATCTAACGGGAGCGGACACCGTCATATTCGTAGAGCACGATTGGAATCCCATGAAGGACCTCCAAGCGATGGACCGCGCGCATCGCATCGGTCAGAAGAAGGTAGTCAACGTGTACCGCTTGATCACCAGGTCAACGGTGGAAGAAAAGATCATGGGACTGCAGAAGTTCAAACTTCTCACCGCGAACACAATAATATCGACGGAGAACGCTTCTCTCGAGACCATGGCTACGGATCAGGTAAGCAAACGCGATTTCTGATGAATTCAAAGAACCTTGCGCTAATTCTATATGATATTGGATCCCGATAAAATCAGCTGAATAAAAATATAAGACGTTTAAAGCTAAATAATGGACAGTTATTGACTTACAGCCAGTCAAACATTTTGCGAGTACTGTTTGATTATTTAGCTTTGAGCCCATTACGTCTTTGTTCAGCACGTCAAATTCAGGGTTTATACTCCCGCGAAAAATCTGGAAAACCTGGAACTCTCAAGGAATTTTTTTCTACCTTGAAAAATTCTGGAATACTCATTTTCCAAATATACCTTGAAATTTAAAGAATATAAAATTTATTAAGTTTATATAAAGCATATTAAAACATATTATATTATTATATTAAAAATATTTTATTTATGTTAAAAAAATTATGTATAACAAAAATAAATTAATTTAAAATTGTATTAAAAATTTTTTAAATACTTTAATTTTACTTGGAATTTTGAACAAAAGTACACCTAGAAAATCATGGAATTTATTTATAAGATTTGAATATACATCCTGTAAATTATAACATGTGAGAAAATCAGCTGATTTTATGGAAATTGGATTTCGCTGAAATTGGTAGGTTTTTTTATATGTTGTAGCTTATGATCTACTGAACAAAAGATGTAATTAGCCTCAAAGCTAAATAATGAACAATTACTGAACTATAGAGCCCGAGCTTTTCATGTTTGACTGGCTTTAAATCAGTAACTATTTATTATTTAGCTTTCAATCTATTACATTTTTGTTCAGCTGGTCATAAGCTATAGCATATAAGAAATTAACTGATTTTATCGGAATTCAATTTCAGGATTTTACAGGTTCAAAAACGCCGCACTAATTTTATATAAAATTGAATATTGGTAAGATCAGCTGGTTTTCTCATATGTTGTAGCTCATTTTTTGCTGAAATAATATTTAAAACTAAATAATAGATAGTTACTGATTTACAGTTAGTCAAACGCGATAAATTTGCATTTTGTGAGTTGTTTAACTGGCTGTAACTCAGCAACTGTCCACTGTTTAGCTTTGAAGCTTTATTACCTTCATTACAATATATTACAATATATAACAAAAATATTATAATACATAAAAAACTAGCCAATTCCATCAATGTTCAATTTTCATAATTATTGTGCGGCGAGCCCTTTATAGAATTAATGCAGGGTTCTTTGATCTAAGAAGAAACGATTATAATCGATTATTGTATAATCAGTTGTTAGATTTATTCTCGTTGGATAATGGCAAGGAGAAGAGGGCGGATAATCAAGAGGACGCCGCTCTTTCAAGACTTCCCGGCCTATCGGGAATTAGCCGTTCCGTATTGGATATCCTACCTGAGCTTTGGGAGCAGCAACAATACGACGACGAATACGATCTCGACTCATTTTTGTCAACTCTGAAGGCTGATAACCAGTAAGCTTGTACCTCGATAAATAGATTATAAACTCGGTAAGTTCTCTTTAAGTACCTCCATCTGAGAAGTTGCCACACAATACCGAACATATAGAAATTAGATCCTACCGCGAACTCTCTTGCTTAGGCGCAACCTCCGGAAGCTGTAGCGTATCTCAGTGACCAAAAGAGATCACTCAAATAATTTATATATTAAAAAGTCATTTATACACGTCTGACTAAGGATTAATCATTATTAATTCTTAACCTAATTGCGATATTGCATAAATGTTAATGATAAGGATAAAATGACATACATCGTACCTAAACTCAAATAGCCGGTATGATAGCAGATAGAAAATAGATTAAGATATCTTGTAAACGTGTGTGTTTCTCATTTAGTTTATAATAATTTATAAAAATGCCGATACATACAATTATTACAATTCCGTATTTGTACCAAACAACGCCACGGTGCATAATTATTATTTATAATGTCTAATACTAGTCTCTTATCTTCTTCTCTATAACTATTATAGCGAGTTAGTAAAACGACAATTTTCAGTTGCCTGAAAACATCGAATTATCTTCTCTTTACATTAGTAGCGGCATTCAACAAGATTCGCATATCATTCGCGGTTAGATTCGCGGGTAGAATAATCCCAATATCGTCGCACTAATAGAAAACAGTTCTACGGATTATCCTTCGGTGCCGCTCACATACGACTTGACAAGATTTACAATTTGGATTTATACCCCGAGACCATATTACCGGCTGCGAATATATTATGCGGATCCAGATGCTCCTTGGTCGCCCGATAAAGGGAGACGCCGGCTTCGCCGACGGCCTCGGGATAAAAAGACGCCCGTATCTTGCCGACTCCATGATGATGCGACAGGGATCCACCGCTGGCGAGTATCTCCTCACGAGCCGCGTGCTCGACGGCCTCGTAGGTCTCGACCGGATCCTCCAGACCCATGTAACTGATCGCCATGTAAAAATATATGCAGCAGCCCGCGTCGTACGTCTGCGTGACGCGGCAGGAGATGAAGTATCTGCGTACGCCGCGCGCGTGACACTCCCTGGCGACCCGGGACTTGACGTTCCTGCATAAAGGTAGCGCCCGGTTCCACGAAACGGAGGTCTCGAACGACTCGGCCAGCACGTTGAACTCGAGGCCGAGGTCCCGGATGTATGCTATCACGAAAGTCAACGTGTAACCACGCTCGCCGTTCGCCTCGCCGGCCGGAATGCCCCCGTACTTCTCGGCCACCTTGTAGATCTTCCGTTCCTGGGTGGCGACGTCCGTCGCGACGTCACCCTCCATCAGCAACGTGGCCACGCATATCTGATCCCATCGGAAACCCTTTATTTGGTGATGTACAGTTGTTTCAAGCCTTGCAGTATCAGACCACCCCAACCGGCCTGCGGCCGTAGGGTCTGGCCCATTTGGAATTGCTCGTTGTCCATTAGGCGTATGCTGGCGGGCTGGCAGCGTTCCTTCGCGATCTGTGGATATTCATCGGAGCGATTATATAGGGTGGATTATTTTAATATCTTACTGTAAATACTCTGTTTTATACAGGATGTCCGAGAAGAAATTGCTGAAACTAATCAGCTGTCATTTTTTAATGCATGAAAAGAGGAAAGTCTACAGTTTTTAATGGATATAAATAAAATGTTTGTATACCAGTTTATTTTATTGATAAAAAGTAATGAAAAAAGTGCTAATAATCACATATGTAAATTAATGATAAATATTTTTGAAGTGCGTGCGCACCATTTGAATTGGTACAAAATTCTGTTCTTTTACGAAAACTTGTAAAAACTTTTTCTAACATGTCATTTTTAATGTTATTTATGATCCTTTTAATAGCTGCTATTAAATATGACACTGTTGGAAATATTTATCATTAGTTTATGATTATTAGCACTTTTTCGTTACTTTTTATTAATAAAATAAACTGGTGTGCAAATATTTTATTTATATTCAACTTAAAAATTGTAGACTTCTCTTTCCAACACAATTTTTGTTTTTTCAATACTATGCATTAAAAAATGACAGCTGATTAATTTCAGCAATTTCTTATGGGACACTCTAAATATATGTGTATGTATGTGTGTGTGTGTATATATATATATACATACATACATACATACATACATACATACATACATACATACATACATACATACATACATACATACATACATACATACATACATACATACATACATACATACATACATACATACATACATACATACATACACATATATTTAGAGTGTCCCATAAGAAATTGCTGAAATTAATCAGCTGTCATTATATATATATATAAACGATTCACATAAAAATTGCTTGACTTTTGGGAAATCTATGCAAGGTTTCTTCTTTCTTAAAAAAAAACATCAAAAGAATTTTATTAATTTTTTCTGCAAATGGCACCACTTTTGAGAAATTCACGAATTGTCACTTTTTTAAATGGAAATCAATTTTTTTTATTTCAAAAATTATAGGTATTGTGGAAACAAATCATACTCGTATTAGTTAAGGCTTCTAGGCCCTCACCGACCATGTTAGAATTATGATGTCAGAGGCGAAAAAACATGCTAAAAATTCTTGCATTATTTTAAAATAAAGATATTTTGATAAAATGTCAATTCAGATGGCTTTAAGACACTTTTAAAATACTCTGAAAATGTTTCATCAAAACATCTTTTTTTATTTAAAAATGGCACGCAAGAATTTTTATTATGTATTTTCTCGCCTCTGACGTCATGATCTAGTATAGTCACGGCGAGTACCCAGGAGCTTTAATGAGATTAAAATGGATTATGCATCGCAAAAAAATGCTTTTAGAGAGACCTCATATCTGTTTCATAATTATTTTTTGATATGCAAGATACCAGTGTTGTGCTTAGATGATTTTAAAAGTAGCTAGATAAAGATGAAATAAAAATATGTAAATTCATCTTAGATAAGATAAAGATGATTTTCTTTTAAATATATCTAAATAAAAGATAAAATCATATGGTGGTTCATTGTGTAATTTATCAAAAAATCTAAGAAACTTTCTTCTCGAAATTTATCTCGACAAGACCTACAAGTTCCGTTAAAAAAAGTTTATCTCCATTTAAAAAAGTGATTAATAAATTTCTCGAAAATAGTGCCATCTATAAACAAATTGCAATCATTTTTTTTAAGGCAGAAAAATAAATATGACGAGACATTGAAATGGCCCATCCTGTATATTATTTTGTTCATCATGTTCTCTACTTCCGACAGAGAAAGAAAAAGAAAGAGAGAGAAATCATGCTTCCCTTTTATTACCTACAAAATATTGGATGTGCGCAACACGCGGAGCTGTTTTTTTCTTTTCCGCGTGTCGTCACTAGTATTTGTGTTAGGCGAGTGTTGGGTAAAGAGAAGCCGGGCCTTCGCGTCATCATCAGTTAATGAGAAAGTCAACACGTATACGTATGTATATGAAAGAATAATACGCACCTCTCGCAACGCCAGAACGCCGTTATGAAAATTCGGGAACACAATGCTGCCGTATTTCACAACTCGCGGCAACGGCCTTATTTTCAACACAACTTCCGTGACGACGCCTAGAGTGCCCTCGCTGCCGAGGATCATGTGGTCGAAGTCCGGGCCGCAGGACGCGCGCGGCACCAGAGTGCCCTTCTCCAGGGTGATGACGGGATCCTCCGTTCTACCGGTGACCATTCGTATTCGCACCACTAGGTCCTCGATGTTGCCATACGTGTTCTTCTTCATGCCGCTCGCTCTGGTCGCTACCCATCCACCTAAACTGTTCGAAACGAGTTACTTTTCCAATCTTTCCTCCCTTGTACACATATATTTTTTATATTACAAAAAAACAGGGTTACCACAGATCTGGAAAACCGAGAAGTTATAGTAAGAATTTTAAATTAGTCAGGGAAAACCTGGAAAAATCAGGGAAATATGTAAATTAGGGTGTATATTCCCTGGAAAAACCTAGAAAACTTGGAATGCTCAAAGAATTTTGTTCTATCTTGAAAAATCATGAAATTTGATTTGAACTCAAGGAATTTTTTTAAAATAGCCCCTTTGATATTTTTAGTAGTTGAAAAACAAGACATGACATTATTTTATAAGAAATATATCTTGTGCCATATTATTATTAAATATTTTATGATTTTGTATTATATGATCTTATATTATAAATCTTATATGATTTTATTGATTTTTTTTCAACATTTTATATAAAAGTTTTATATATAGAAATTTATATATAAAGTTATGGACTTTAAATTTTTAAATGGGGGATTTGAAATGTTTACTGAAATATAAAAGAAAAATATTTCCTTTTCTTTTATATTTCAGTAAACATTTCAAAATTGTATTCTAAATATTATTTAAAATACTTTAATTTTATCTGGAATTTGGAACAAAAATACTTGGAAAATCATGGAATCCTCAGGGAATTTATTACTAAGATTTGAGTATACACCCTGCAAATGAACCTGGAATTGAGAACAAAATTTAACTTTTCTCCCAATTTTCCCATAAATCAATATTATTGCATTCTATAGTCCATGCATTAACTATTATTTTTAAAATATATGTATATTAAAAATGGTTCCTTTGTTCAAATTTAATGTAGAAATTAGATATATTTACTAATGTCAAGTTTATTTCAATTTTAATATTTTTAGAGGTTTATAAAAACTTAAATTTTATTCTTTTTTAAACGTAAATTAAACATTAAATTATATCTTTTATTAAATGTTTTTATTCAATTGACTTCTCTTATTCCTTATTTTCCTCTGCATTTTTTCTGTTGGTTTGAATTCAGGATTACGTTATATTATTAAACTTCCAAATTTGTGTTGTTTCTAATAATATAAGTTATTCTTTTCTAATTTCTACTTCTAAATTTAAGATTACACATATTATGGTCATGGAAAATTTTCATTGTCGTCTGGAAAACATGGAAAAGTCAGGGAATTATCAAAATTCATTTTTTGTGGCAACCCTGAAAAAACATCTTTAACTCTATTCTGTCTCTGTCTTTCGGAGCTAAAGTTTCAGATGCATGCAGCGTATGTAAATCATTGAGATACGTTTTTGTATTTAAGGTATGGAACCTGTGTGGATGTATCGATTGTCTTTTATGTGTTGCGCATTTAAAGTAGCCTCATAGTTTTCTCTGGAAGTCTACAATATTGAATTCCAAAAAAAGATTACTTACAAAGAGAGTGTATGTCTCGTGTCATTGTCAGTGTACCAATTATTATGTATTTATATGCATATTAATGTTTTATATATGATTGTGTTTTGACATCTACACGTGTACTAATATCATTGGACAAAATGCTATAAGATGCTAATTGTCATTATTCATTACTCAAGTTAACTTAAGCTTTCTTTTTTAATTATTATATGACTTTATGGCTAAATGTGTGTCTTTTGTATTGCATTGTCTCAAAATAATTACTATCACCCACCTTTATTATATAATATGTATCTTATTAAATATATAATTAATTTTGTATGAAACTAATTTTGAATTTTATTTTATAAGATGTGCAAATTATTATTGAAAAAATTACTGCATTACTCTAACTGTATTTATACCAAGTAACAATTGTTTCAGTATTGATACTAATTTGTAGCGATGGGATTAAGTAGCTTACAAGTAGATTCGAATTTGTTTGCATAGTTTCGAACTCTCTATAATTACTCCAAAAAAACAGAACTTTCAAACAGACTTGAACTTTCTATAAGTACTTCGAAAAATAGGAGCAATACTTCCAAGTATCTGAATCTGGATCTAGTATATTTGAATCTTTTATAAATACTTATGAGAAATTGTAATCTAGAGTTCAAATATTATTTATAAGGGATTCGATTCTTCAAAAATGTATAATATTTATAAGTATTTATTATATTGTATTCATTGTGATAGAAAGTACTCATAAGTATTTATATTCTTTTACGACAGAAAGTATTTATAGCTATTTATTATATTTTTACAATAGAAAGTACTTATAAGTACTAATAGTAAAGTACTTAAGTACCTTTTACTATACTGCTATAGTACTTATAAGTATTATTTCGAAGTAATATAAGTACTTACAAGTACTGTTTCCTCGCAGTACTAAATCTAAAATTCGAATATAATTATTCTAGATTCGATTATTTCGCAAGTACAATAGATGCACTATTATTTTTTATACGTATTATACAAATCTTGGAACGAAACTTGATTATTGAATTTTTACTCGGATTTTTAAGTATATACATCAACTTGATCCCATCCTTATTTGATAGAAAAAGGTTTTTTTAGATACATCATCATGTATCATAAAGAAACAATTTTCAAGAGTCATTTCAAGAGTCACTGAAGCGCAAACATCGCATATATTTTGCTTCATATTTTCTTTTGTCATTAGCGGTTCAAACGTAACTTTGTCCTTCACATATCCCCACAAAAAATTTTATGATGACAGATAACTCCCGAAATACTATCAGATATTTAATTTGAATAAATGCATTTTTACAAGAGTCAATGATGAACATATTGTAAAATAAATAAGTTGGAATAGAGGATAATTTCGATTTCGTGTTTCTCGAGCACTTTAAGTAACTCTAAATCAAAAGTCTCGTCATATTTTTTCATAGAAGTATTTAATAAAAAAATGTTTCTGATAAATTGGTTTCTTTTATAGAATTCAAAAATTTAATTTTATATAGGGCGTCCTATTTAAAATTTTATAAATAATATATCCATTAAGTTTGAAGATTCTTCAAACTCACACAATTCAAGATTTTAATCTTTAAAATGGATGGCATAATTTCCGAAATATTAAGTTATAAAGAGTTATGTGGGTGTATATAGTGTCCTTTACAAGATATTTTATATTAAAAAATTTAACATAAATTATATATATATATATATATATATATATATATATCTTATATATATATATATATATCTTATAAAGTATTCATTTTCCAATACTTTTATCTCAATTTTTTTTATGCACAAAAAAGAAATATATTAATTGGTATAAAGAAAATACATAATTGCTTGTAAGAAAAATTATGTAGCTGCTTAATTGCAAATTACATACCTTTTTAATAAACAACTATGTGCTTTTTTACACTAATTGATCTTCTCGTTATTTGTGCATTAAAGAATTGAGATAAATATATATTTTATGAGATATTTCATAATTTATGTCAAAGTTATGTTAAACTTACATATAATATCTTGTAAATTATTCACTTTTTGCTATCTTAAGGTGCCTTTTCATACGCAGCATGCTGCAGCAAATCAGTCACGTGATTAAAATTTATTAGAGCATATCTCTTTGTTCTCTTATTATTTCAAGGTTAAAATTACGATTTTTACTTTTATATTCTCAAAATAATTAATTTTGTTCTTAAAAAATCCATTATTTAACTAATACAATTAGCCTAATTAATTAATCCTAATAATAATTAGCATCAATTAGTTGCGTGTTCTTTTACTTTACTGCCTTTGTTGTTCGTTCAATTGAGCTTCATCAATAGTAACAAACTGCTGCGGCAGCATTGCTGCACATGAAATGGTACCTTTACCCTCGTAACTTTTTATAAGGAATACTGCGAGGAATCGATTTATATAAAAAATAAGTGGTTCCATTAAAAAAAAAAAAAAAAATGACCTTGAAAATCGCCCTTTAGGAAAAATGAGTGGCGCCAACTTCTTTTCTCCTAAAAAATTCCAGTTATTATTGTTGATATAGAATAGCTTAAAGAAGATCGCTAGATTGTATACCTGGAGAATTCGTAAGAATCGGGCTCGTGGCCGCACGTGAATCCCTGAGAACGAAGTATTCGCTCGAGATCCTGGCCGATGATGCCGGATTCGCAGCATATTAACAAATTATCCCTGTCCATCCACAATATCCGATTCATCTGCGACGTGTCCAGTGAAATTATCGTTCGGCGTTCGTCCGGGGGACAGCACGCCGCGCGGCTCACGCTGGTTCCACCACCGAAAGGTATGCAGACGGCCCCGTAATGCACGCACATATTGACAATTTTGACGACGTCGTCGTGACACTCTGCAAACATGAATATTGATGGAGAACACTTTGCATAGAGCGTAAAGATTTTCTTGTTTAAGGTGGAAAAGAGCGAAAACACACTTCTGTCGTTTTATCGCAACGAGATATAGAATAATAGGTAAAAAAAAATTTCTCTTTTTTTATAGACTAATCCACGTAAAGTTGTTTTTTTTAATTGAAGATGGAAACAATTTTTTTTGTTGAACAATTCTTTTAAATCTTGTGAGACAAGTGGGCTATTAAATATAAGGAGAGCATTTGTTTAAATAAAATTTATATATTTTTTCTTTCATAAAATTTCTTATTGTGTGTATGAAATTTCTAAGATGAGATATAAACAGGATATTTTTATATGTATACTAATATATAAATATATGATGATGACGAAAATATAAAACGCATATTTCGTCAAATTTTTATTTTCGGAAAATATTATTTTAATATTTAAAAAAAAATGTAGGCAAGAGCTAAACCACTTATAAATTAAAACTTGATTTTATTTTGTACAAGATACATAAATATTTCGACCTACATTGATTAACTAATGTAAGAAATAGTAATACGTCTTCAATATATTGTAAAGCCTTTTTTTTAGATATTCTGTTGAGAAATGTAAGAAAAGGAATCATGTAAAGTAGTTAGGTCAACTGTTCAACCTTGTGCATATAAGCTAAAGTTTATATTGATTATTCTTATTACAGCTTACAAGTGTCAAGTGTGTTATAACATTGATTTATTCCTGTAGAGAATTCTCATGCATTCGATATTTTAACGATGTTTTTTTAACATTTAACGCCTTAAATAGCGCGATAAAGTATAAAAAATTGTGACATCGATTTTTTAAGTTAGAATTTTCATTATTTATGATGAAAAATTCCTGAAAAATAATAAAATTGTTTGGTTCCAATTACAAAATTAAGTACATGTGAAATCAAACTTTCATCGATAAAACTCATATAAACACGGACAGTCAAAACAAAATTAATAACTTATTCTGAATAATTTCAATTTCAAATGAATATAAATTAATTACGGCGAGGAGAAAAGTTCTCAAAAAATCGTATTGATAAATCTTGAATCAAAACAGCAAAAAGGGTTATTAATTTAAAATTTGAAAAATTAAAATTCAACATTTTTTAAATCAAAAAGATTAAATAAAATGGATTTATATTTCATTAGTTTTTTTTGTAAGTATTAAATAGAAAAATAGTAATAAAACAGAAATATATAGAAATTCTGCACATCTTTAATTAAAACTGACAAAGGATTGCTAGTAGTGCTATATATACAGTTGCAATTAAATAGTAATTAAATAGGCGGAGTAGTGTCGTTCCGCTGATTGCAGACTTCTAAAAGATAATTCCGCATATGAAAGATAAAGAAAAAAAAACTCTGCCTCTCTAAAATGACAATTGAAATTTTCTGTGTGTGGTTTGTATCTTTATTTTATTCGCGCGAGAGAAATTTACACTTCAAAATCTACATATTTATATTTTTCAGAAATATTACTCTTTAAATAACTAAAAAAAAATATTTTAACAGACATATGTATATAAAATTATATAAAATAATAGATCTCGTCGGTAGATCAATTTCTTAAAAAGCCAATATAAGGTGAGACGTCTCATTCAAATTGAGTATCTAAATATTTAAAAAAATAAAAAGAAAAAATTTCAAGACAAAAATTATAGTTTTAACAGGGACTCTCAAATCATAATATCGCGACCTAGAATTGCTTTTTGTACTAAATATTGCAAAGAATCGACTTGTGTAAAAAATTAGGATTATTTTATTTAAAAAACCGAGTTGACCTTCAAATGACCTTGAAAAACGCCACTCAAGGGCAAACATTAACACGCTCGATATACATAATTCTGTCTTAATTTTTTCTTCTTGCATGATGGCGATTCAAGTAACTTTCTATGTATTATTATAAACTTACTCGGCCACACAACGATATCTGGTATCCTCTCGAAGGAGGTGCCGTGCTTCAAAAAATAAACCTCTCGCAAGGTATGACCGTGAGCGCGAAACAGCCGATCGACGCCGTTGGTCGAGTGATCGATCTCCAACTCCTCGATCGCATTCGATAATTCTGTCGAGAGTATCGGTTCTGGAAAGTGCGTCGGTAAATTTTGAGGATCGTGCTTCATCTCCCATGTTATATCGAAAGTCTTTTCGCACCACTTTGTAAAGTATGGTAATTCCAGGTTTCCAATGGGATATCTGATAATATATGATATTTATATACATTTATATACATATAATGTGACATATATGTTAAATTTTAATTTTACATATATATGATATATTTATATAATAGAAAGAAAATAAAAAGAGAGAGAGAGAGAAGCATATTTTTATATAACTTAGCACTCTTATCATTAAATATCAAGTATAGATTACACTGGTCAACAAAACAGAACTTTTGTTTAATTTTCAAGGATGTTTGAACGAATTTAGGGTATTTTGGAGGTGCTGAAAAAAATGACAATAATTTTGCTGAATTGGTTCTAGTTTTTGAGTTTTGTTTAATAAATACTCAAATTATGAATTTTATATCAAATATATGTAGAGCTGCTGACATATGCAACAGGTTTTGTCTATAATTTAATCTTTAATTCTTTAACATATATTGTTAAAGTTTTTATATCTAACGTAATTGTCTTAATAACTCACATAAAAGAAAATCGTACAAATAATATTTTGTATTACACGTGCAGGCAAAGTGGCACTTTGTGTGCGTGTTTTCTGTGCGGAAAGCGGCCGATTTCCCACGCCGCCATCTAGCGGCGACGCGGTGAGTGAATAAGCTGCATTCAAAGCCATTGCCTACGGCTGAGCCGCGTTCAAAGTCATTGTCCACGGCTTCAGCCGCAACTATTCCCGCACCGTGCCGTCGCAAGATGGCGGCGTGCGATCGGCCACCTCGCGCACAGAAAACGCGCACAAAGCCACTTTGCCTGCACTTGTAATACAAAATATCGTGTGTATCAAGTGCGGATTGACAATTGTTCACTCGTGTGGGATGGTCGCACTTGCCTTCAGCTCGTGCGACTTGCCCGCACTCGTGACCAATTGTCAACTTTCCGCACTTGATACACAATATACTATTCCGAAGTACGATAATACGTTTTTCGAAGATTTTTTGCGCTGAATGATATCATTGTCTGAATGTATAATATCTAACACATCAGGATTTAGAGTAAATTGTGGTATAATGAAATAGAAATGGTATTTTTGGCCATTATTGGCAATGTATTGCCCACGGCTTTAGCCGTGGGCAATGACTTTGAACGCGGCTCATTGTCAGCCGTAGGCAATAGCTTTGAATGCGGCTTATTCACTCATCGCGTCGCCGCTAGATAGCGGCGTGGGAAATCGGCCGCTTTCCGCACAAAAAACACGCACACAAAGTGCCACTTTGCCTGCACGTGTAATACAATATACTATTTCTATACAGGAAAAAAAGGGCAAAATATTATAAAAATTATAAAAAAAAATAAATTAAAAATATCTCTAAAACGATTTATTTGCGGACTCATGTTTTTTAAGACTTTTTGACTTGTTTTTAGGCATACTAAATCCCCTTAAAATATTTTACCCTTTTTCTAACACCTTGTATATCAATTATCTGAATCACAATTAATATTATTTTATTTTATTTTATTTTATTGTATACTTAATACAACGCCATTAGATATTTCATATATATATATATATATATATATATATATAATTTTGTATATGTATTTGAGACAGTTTCAATATAATTTTGGGCTAAGCTACACCTGATTATTATATTTTTTTGCATTTTTTATTTTTCATAGAGGCATTCATTATCTCAAAAATTAGAGAAATTAATCTAACAAAACCAATGTCATATTTGGAATCAACGACACAAAATTAAAATCGATCTAATATAATTGGCTAATATAAAATCAGTATTGAGCAATATTAATTATATGATTATAGATGCTTAATTTTTAATTGATTGCTCTGGTTCCGAATTTATATATTTTATCCTATACTTTATAAAAGGAAATAAATAAATACAATCTCATCTACATTCTTCGAGGTAGTCAGAGAATAAAAAATGTTTGGATAATGTATTTTTCCAAATAATCGAACGACCAATAATGTCCCGTTTGAAAATGTCGTAATCGTTTGGATAATTGAACACTCGACTAAATGGACTTTTAAAAATTAACAAATATAATTATTTTACTATATTTAAAATTAATGAAACCGCACTAGTTTAGCAATTAAATGATTACGCAAGAAACTTCTAAATTAATTTTTAATATTAAAATATTATTATATTATTATTATATTATTATATTATATTATTATTTTTAATTTAACAACTCACGCACACGTACGTACGAATCGTAATACAAATTATTTATATGTTATTATATTTTTCTAATCTAGATTTAGAGGATAACAGTTCTTTTTTTCATGTATCTTAATCCCAGGGATTTGGTGTTTATATTCATATAAAATGTATATTTTTTATATAAAGCACATAATATGCGATGACAACTCGTCTGTCATTCGAGACGTCATATAGAGATAAAAATTGATAAGAAAAACTGTAATTTCATCAATATTTCTCGTTTTTCATATGAAATCGAATTTCCTCGGGATTATAGATGTATATGTATTGTAATCGTAAAGAAGCATTTTTAATTCTGTCAAATTAATGCGACAAAAGACTAGAAGTATAAAAATAATATATCGCTGATAAAACAGGCAAACGTGAAAGATCCCCTTAATACGTCTGAAATTATACATCATTATACTGTTGTTTCGCTTTCTTTATTTGATTATACCTTAATATGATATACTTGATACATTAGGTAACTTTACGCAAGGCTAACCATCTGAACTAATGTCAACAAATAGAAACGAAAGAAATTTATCCTTATTATACGTAAATCCTTATTATACGTATTATACGTTATCATATATGTGCATAGAAAATTATGTAGAAAAAAAAATCCGCATATAAATATCTATATAGTCAGTGTTTGCTGTTATCTAAATAAAATTATATAGATGATCTTCTAAATGAAGCTTATTTAGCGCCATCTTATCTTTATATAGATAATAAAAATATGTATCATCTATATCTGTATCTTAGATGAAAAAAGTATTATCTTTACTAAATTATCTAGAATAATTTTCATATTTTTAAATTATAAAGATTATAATTTTGGTTTAGAATCATATAGCACACAAAATACATACTTAAATAGAACTTAGGCAATAAGCGATAAAAATTTATAAATAAAAATATGAATACATATATTTTTATATCCCTTTATAATTTACGTTTTTTTATAACTGTGTTTATACGCATAAGCAATCTTAAAATTTATTATCTAAAAAATTATCTAGATGAATTGCCATATAATCTTTTATCTATAAATATACTTAAAATAAAATCATCTTTATCTTATCTAAGATGAATTTATCTCATCTCATATTTTTATCTCATATTTATCTAGTTAATTTTTAAATCATCTAAACACAACACTGTATATAGTTTCACACAATTGTTAAAGCAAAAGAGTAATGAGTTTACAATAATTACAGAAACCACAAGAGTATTTTCTTGCTTCACGCTACGTCAGCTGTTCGAACTGCATCTTATTTTAGTACAACAGCTGTAAATTAAATTATTATCATACACACAATGTACATTACATAATTCTGACTCGAGATACAATTCAAGGTACTCGTATATATGTATACGTATACATCTTACACAACGAACTCAAGCTATGTAACTTTGATAACAAGAAGATACAAACAAGATTCTTATCATTCCCATTATTATAACACGTTCATCGTGTCATATCACATCACTATATGCGAAAAAAACTTGTACACCTGATTTTCTAACAGTTCTTCATTTTAAAAAATTTCATTTTAAGTCTTATTTAATTTATCGTTATCATTAGGAAAAAAAACTCCAGATACATATAAAAAAATGATATTATCTCCCGAATGTTTCAAATAGAACTTACTCATCTACTTCAAGAAAAACATCTTACTAGTATGAATCGAAATTTCAAGGTAATCTTTTGTTTTTTTAAATGGAAAAATATATTTTCATTTAGCTAGACATGTAGCCTATTCCTAGAATGAATTTATTTATCTATTAGTTTCAACCTTTCAAGATTATTCAAGCTCATTTATCATATCCTTTCAATTTTCTCTTCAGTAAACGCGGCGAAAAAATATTTTCCTCGCCATAGAAATTTGTTCAAGAAAATTTCAGAGACATATATTTCCATCTAGAACAAGACTTGTGTCCATAATAGTATGTCCTCCTTGGACAAACAGAATATAAATTCCATTGAAATATTTTTTAGCGAATAGTCGGGAAATAATTGCGTGAAAAGTTTATAATGTGACACTATGTATACCGACACATACAGTACCCTCCATAAGTTTGGAAACACCCTACATTTTACAGTTAAAGAATTGCATGGCAGCGATCTGTTATAAATAAAAATGTCATCTAAATATTTTATGTTTATTTTATGATTTATTTATACAAAAAATCTGCATAGATCAAAAGAATTTTCTTAATTTAAGAGAAAAATTCTCTAAAGAAATATTCTTTAATTAGATATTCCTAACATGCAAGAATATAAACTTGGAATGGAATGCTTTTTATCAGTATATTATTTGAAATATTATTAATCGTGATAACAAAAAATAGTCTTATGATAATGGACATTTGTTATTTATTGCATACAGTACCCTTCACAAGTTTGGAAACACTTTACATTTTACGGTTAAACAATCGCGTGGCAGCGATCTGTTATAAATAAAAATGTTATTTAAATATTTTACAATTTATTGATACAAAAATCTACAGATCGCTGCCATACGATTATTTAATTGTAAAATGTCAGGTGTTTCCAAACTTACAGAGAGTACTGTATAAAAAGTAAATAATTTCTATGTCTAATAATTTTCTAATATAATTCATAAAGATTTAAAATATTTTGAAAAATTTTTTTCATTTAAATTATATATTGAATTAATTTCATTAAAATTATGTTTTAATGAAAAAAAAATAAATTTATTATATAGATAAATAAAATTAAAAAAGTTAAAATAAAAGAGTATAATAAAAAATTATTAAATTTAAAATTAATTTGTTCATTTGAAATTAATCTTGAAAAATAAAGGAAAATAATAAGTAAACCTCTGATTATACACTGATTGTGAGAAAAAATAATGTTAATATGAGTAAACGCATTTAGTCAATGGAATTTTTTTTTATTGAAATATTTAAATGTTTAAGTCAAGTGCACTTCAGTATTGTTAACTAAGCTTAATTTGAAACATAATATTTTTTCGTATTTACAAATATTTGTTTGACAGCTCGTGACTGCCGTATTTAATTAGTTTAAAAAAAAATTTTTTTTTGATTGAACATTAGTTTTTTCTCAGTGTAATTAAAAATAGTATAATTGAATAAATATAATTAGAAATTATTAGAGGAAGTTTTATAATAACTTCGATTATTATTAGAATGAAAATTATACGGTAGAATAAACCATTAACACGTTGTATTTTTTTTCAGTCTAAAAAGCTCTCAATTTAACGATGATGATACTCGACGGCGTTTCGTTCGATACGAAGCGCAAATAAAAAGTGCATATGCACTTATGCGGAGAACATCGATGGCGACATTCTTACTAGTAACTGGACAAACATAATTAGCTAGGAAAACGTATACGTGACGAAATCGAGAGAGACAATATAGGCTTTCAACGTTTCAAGCTATATATATATCTTATGTATACTTATCATGCTAAAATCTGACGCTGCTGACATCATGTTCTGTTTATTCAAATCTTCAATCATTCTCTTTTTGAATAATTAGATATATTATTAGTAAAGAATATTCAGTAAGGTAACTTATTATTATACGAATAAATGCAAAAAGAGCGAACAAATTGAGTAAACTTTAAAAGCAGACTTTGATAAAGCAGAATTTATTTCCGATGTCTGAATAATCGATTTATAAAATGATAGATGATATAGAAAAAAATGTTTACATTTTCTTTATATGATTATTATATGTATTTTTTATATGATTATTATATACTTTTTTATACATAATTTTTTATAAGTTTGCGTAGTAATGATTAAACGTCTTATTTTCAAAATTTTATACTTAATAATTTAATTTATCATTATATTTAATGATAAATATTTCTCTCTCTTTTTCTTTCTTTTTTCTTTCTTTTATATCTATAATTATTATACATATAATTCATAATTTAATTGCTCTCTCCTGATTTTGTCAATTTTTGTGCATTTTAGATCACAATATAATTTGTCTCTCTGTTTTAAAAATCAAGATATTAATTAAAGCTCATATAAATCCAAACGAGTTATAGAAAAAATATCAAAAAATTATATTTTATAATACAAGTATTTATATGACGTATTTGTAAACATAACTCTAAATTTTCAATTCTACAACATATTTCAGAAATAGATGGTAAAATTTTAAGAGCATATACTCTACTCATTATAAGGACGAAAAAATCATAAACATGAATTCGGAAATACTTCCCTTCTCAGTTATATATTTTTTACAATAAACTTAAGAACATTTCATTAAAGAAATTGCTGGAAATGATTTCTTTCAGTAATAGAAGTATAATCCATGAGACATCAATGCAAAACATATACATATAAAATATGTGTTGTAAATCAACAATATTACATGACTTTTTTCATTCTAATAAAATATGCTCTTAAAGTTCGATTACCTATTTCTGAAACACCATATATAGAATAGCTTTCTTTTGTTTTTCTCGATATATATCTTAAAAAGTATTTAAAATACCAAAAAAAGTTTTATATAAAAATTTCATGAGAACATCTCTATTTAATCAAATTAATAATATTGTGAAAAAATAATTTTAGAAATTAATTTTTTTGTAAATTTTTGGAAAAAAGTTATTTTTTTATTTGGGCCATAACTAAAAAATTTTTAATTTATCTAATATTTATCTTCCCTACATATGTGTAAAATTTCATCAAAATCAAAATTTTCGGGTTTGTATAATTTTCTCTTGTATATGTACAAGGTGTTTCTAAATATAAATGCGAAAAATTTTGGAAGATGATTCTTTGTTAAAAATTAAAGGGAGTTTTTATATAAACATGTATTTATTCTATATCCTTCTTTGAAGATGAATTAGAAACTGAGTTACAACTTCTTCAAAAGAAAAGATTTTTTAAAAATCCAAAAGACAAAGAGTATCATGCAACGCAATAAATAAAAATAATGAAAGACCAACTTACGAGCATACGAATAGGTGTAATATAATAAATTCAATTTTATTTATAAATCCTGAACTTAAATTCTTACATAAACTTAAAGAATTTAAAAGTTCAGGATTTATAAATAAAATTGAATTTATTATATTACACCTATTTGTATGCTTATAAGTTGATCTTTCATTATTTTTATTTATTATGTTTTTTAACTTTAAAAAAAATTAATTTTAAAAAAATAAAAGAAAAAGTTTCTTTAAGAATCAAGCTTTCTAACGCATATTTTTAGATAATTACATTCCGGTTACGTTAAAAAGTTCTGATAAAAAATTGAATAAGGGTTGTTATAGTTTCATCCCCTTAATACGAGAAAATTAGAAAATATTAATAAATAAGTTTCGATGACTTTTGCGTAATAACATTTTTATATTATTTTTATTTTTATTTTTTATATACTGACCTTAACTATAATTTTATATTCAGATTTCATTATTTATTTACTAAGACTAACGCATTCATTACTTATTGTTTTTGCGCTGAAGATGGTTAAAAGAAGAACCGAAACGTACGCGTTAAAATTAAAATTTTGTTTTCTTTATTATTTTTTATTTGATTATTAAAATGTATTATCTTGATATTTGTATATATAATATAATTAGAGTTGGGTAATAATTAGTTAATTAATTAAAAGTTAAAAAGTTAAAAAGTTAAATAACTTTTAACTTGGCTTACAATAGTTAATTTAAAATGTATTAATTTTTAACTTTATCTAGTTATTTATTTTGACCTTAAACTTATTAACTTTTTTCTAAGTTAAATTTCTTTTTATCTGTGAATACCATATTATTGTTTTTTTTATAAGTTATAAACGTATTATTTTTAAATTAGAGTAAGTATTATTAATTTTTATGTTTATATATTTCTATATAAAAATCAAAATTTTTTTATTTGTTATTATAAATTTTAAAAGAATTGACAAACAAAATTCTAATTTAATATAAATAATGTTTTAAAAAACTAACTTTTGACTTCAGTTAATTTAATCTTACCTTTTAACCTTTTAGATGATAATTAGTTAATTTTTTGTTCATGTAACTTTTAACTTAATTAAATTAATTTTATAAGCAACTAACTTTAACTTAACTTATCTAACCCTAAATATAATATTAATATAATACAATATATAATATATAATATAATATAATATAATATAATATATAATATAATAATATAATATAATAATTTTGCGCCTTGTCTATCGCACTAGTTTTATCACGCCTATTATTATATTTTCATATTTTTTATTTTTAATAAATATCCTTTTTAGTAGAAAAGATTTAATAAATTTTATTTTTCTAATTTGTCCAAAATTCGAGAAAAAAATTAAAAACTAATTTTAAAAATTAAACATTCCTTAAAGGGTGAAGTGAAAATTAGGTTTTTAATTTTTTTCAAGCTTTTTAACAAAGCTTTGTCAAAAATGAAGGAGAATTAATTTCCTACAATTTTTCGCATTTATTTAGAAACACCCTGTACATATATATATGTATATAAATGTTCCATAAAACTCACCTGTTACCGGTGAACTCAACCAGGAGCTTGTTGTTCACGTGGAATCCGGAATCCTTGTAACCCCATCCGTTCCATTTCAGCAACTGCTGCCTTAAAACACCAAAGAGCGACGAATAATGATAACGTGAGAAGCAGAGAAAGTCCGTGGAATAAGATGTGATCCGTCAACGAGAAAACCGAATATAATTATAGTACCCGCACGCGAGTCTCGAAATATTTCGAATCACCGGGAAAGCGCACGTGTCTCACACGTTTCGTCACGTGACTGTTCGTTCTGTCCAATCGTCCCTTCGGAAAAATCAAAATACAAATTTTTCGAAATTTCTATTCAACTATTATATTATTTATATTTATCCAGGAATTATCATCGAGTATTAAGATCGGGAAGAGTAATGATAACGTGTAATATAATATAAAGTCGATCCCTAATAGCACAACATATCGGAAAGAGATTCAGAGGATATTCAGAGAATATTAGAGAGGACATTCGAACATCCTCAGGATGTTCTCTGAATGTCTTCGGGATATGTGCAGGATCCTAAGGTTGCAAACGGACGTCATTAGACATCAAAATGATGTCATTAGACGTCAAAACTACTACTCGGGATGATACATCCCTAACGGCACACATATTCCAAAAACGTTCAGAAAACATCCTGAAAATGTTCGAATGTCCTCTGAATATTCTCTGAATATCTTTTGGATATGTTGTGCTATTAGGAATGTAATATAAGATGGAATTTAAGATATATGAGGTTATAGAAAAGGGCGGAGTGTCTTATCGATCGATGTTACGAGATCGTGTGTGCGAGGGTGTCGTTCGTGATGCGGGGGAGAGAGTCATAACAATGAGTCACACATGGACGAGCTTTTACACACACGCAAAGATATACGCGAAGAGGTGTGGTCGGCCGCGATTAAACGCACGCGTGAGTAAGTACGTGTATATTAACGTCGCGCATGTTGCACCGCGTGCACAATTCGCACGCACGCACGCACACACACAAAACACACACACAAACACACACAAAACACACACACACACACACACACACACACACACACACATACATATATATATATATATATATATATATATAATATATATAGAGAGAGAGAGAGAGAGAGAGAGAGAGAGAGAGAGAGAGAGAGAGAGAGAGAGAGAGAGAGAGAGCGAGAAAGAGAGAGAACTTATCTCTCGATTCGTCTCGCGGACGAAAATCGCCCAATCGTGGCGACACTGACTGACCTGATTTTTGGCACCGCGCTCTCGAACTCGATCGGGTCGTTCGCCGATTCCGCGTGCGTCATCTGCTTCCCCGATCTGACATGCTTCTTATTCTCTCGGGCGCGCGATGAGGGATGTCGGAAATATATGTACAAACGGGAACGAAGCGCGTTCCTCGAACGCGCGGCGACGGCTCCGCGTTCACTATTGACACGCGCACCGGCAAACCAATTTAAATCGATACAGCCTCCACCCGACCACCCGTCGACGCGCGCCAATCCACGCGCGTCTCGCCGAGCGGCCAATCGCGCGGTCAATCGCCGATGACGTCACCGCGCCATAGATTTGTTCGTACACTTAGAGCAAACGCGTATGCTTCATCTTAGTAGATATATATAAATATATAATTATATATTTCTATAAATATATAATTATGTAACTATATATCTTAATTAATTGCAATTAAATTATTATTAACGCAATAATTGTATATTATATTATAATTGCATACAGTTACAATTAATAATAATAAATCATATTCGATTAGAAAATTAATCTCGAACCTCCATGATTTACTTACTAGATGGAAAAATAACAATTACATTTCAGTACAGACATATCGTTCATTGTCATTTAGTGAGGGAACATTACCGAGAACTTACGGTTTACCTAAAATCCACAAAGAAAATTGTCTGTTTAGACTAATTGTATCCTCTATAAATACTTCTTTATATCAGTTAGCACTTCACTTACACCAAATTATGAACAATTGTTTCCCTGTCTGTAATAGCCACATAGAAAATAGTTTCGAAATGGTTAACAATTTCAGATATTTACATCCATAATGACTACAAATTATTATCTCTTGATGTTATTTCACTTTTTACTAATGTACCTATCGATTTAGCTCTCGAGAGTGTTTCCAATAGATGGCAATATATTGAAAATAATTGCAATCTCCCTAAGTCTGAATTTTTAATTGGAGTAAGCCTCGTATTAAATTCTACGTATTTTACATTTAACAATGTTTTTTATTGACAATCCTTTGGTGCACTAATGGGTTCTCCTTTATCTCCTATCATAGCTGATATTGTACTGCAAGATTTAGAAAATAAAGCTCATCAACTACTAAAGTTTTGTCCACCCATATACATCAGATACGTGGATGATATAATAATGGCTGCTCCATCGGATTCTATAGATCACACATTAAATTTATTTAATTCTTTTTACAAAAGAATCCAGTTTACTATTGAAATTCAAGATAATAATAAAATTAATTTTCTCGACCTAACATTGATATTAAAAAATAACAACATCATATATAATTGGTACCATAAACAACGTTTTCTGATAGATATCTAAACTTCCTTTCTCAACACCCTATGAATCAAAAACGAGGTACGATAATGGGGTTGGTGGATCGAGCCTTCTTATAATCAAATCCAGAATTTCACAAAGAAAATTTAGAGTTAGTAATCAAAATATTACTCGAAAATAACTATCTTCTGAAATTGATTTTTGACACAATGAACCAAAGACTAAAACATTTAATAGAACAACGAAATATCCTTACAAACAAGAATGACCAAAATTTAAAGGTCTCGTATTTCTGCATCCCATTCTTACCGACACTCACTGAACAATTTAAATTGAATAAATATATTAAAGTACATAAAGATCCTATTCCTAAGTGTTCAAATACCAATGTTATATATAAGATAGACTGTAAAGATTGTAATGCATCGTATGTTGGTCAGACTAGTAGGAAATTATCTACTAGCAGAATATCAAAACATCGATCTAATATACATAGAAATGTAAAAAAATCTGTAATCACTGACCATAGATTAAAACATAATCATGAATTTAGTTGGGACGATGTAGAAATACTTGACAAAGAATCACAATATAACAAAAGATTGATTTCAGAGATGATATTCATAAAAAGGCAAAATAACAGTCTTAATTTAAAAACAGATATTGATGGCTTGCCAGTAATTTATGACGATATAATACATAGACTACCTAAGATATGAAAGTTAAAAAACATAAACAACTAACTATTTTCTCCGTTGTGTGGTCATCTCTCTGAGAGATAAAAATCATTCGTTATTGTAACCTCGAGCAATCAACATCTGAAAGCCTTCACGTCACAATATAATATCTTACTTGATTTAATTGTAAGTCTATTTTTATTAATTTACTTATCTTTCAATGTTAATTTTTCGTATACAATGATTTTATAGACATATATTAACAATTGCTGTTATTGAAATTCGCAACCGACCTCCTAACCGAACGATTAGCGAGAGATCTGTTTCGCGACAATTACATAAAATGACGATTCGAGGAATAGAATATATAAAAATGCTCATGCTTTAAAAAAGCGTTGATTTCGTTTTTTAAAAAAATAGCTTGACGTAGTTTTATGCGAATAACTGTGTTTTTGTATAGTTTTATTATATTGACAGTTATGAATAATTGATTGTTAATTTCTATTAATCTTTAATTTTAAATGATGCGTTGAAGAAGGTTGAAAAAGGCAATCGAAACGTTCGAATTTATTTAAGTCTAATATTTTATGTTATAAATCTTTTTCCACAAATAAATATTAATGAAAGAACTTAATTAGCTCTTATTGCCTTTTATATGTATATATATATAATTAAATCATATAATTATGCGCTTATAAAGTTAAAAAATGCATGAATAAAAAATGAACTCAGTTAAAGTTCAATTAAGATTAAATGAACTAAAGTTAAATAAAATGTTAATTTGTATATTGTTTATATTAAAACATTATTTATATTAAGTTAGAATTTTATTGTTTGTTAATTCTTTTCAAATTTATAATAACAATAAATAACAAAGAAATTTTAATCTTTATATATAGAAATATTTTTTTGTAATTACAATTGATGACAGTAAATAAACATAGAAATTAATAATACTTTAATTTAAAAATAATACGTTTATTAACTTATAAAAAAACAATAATGATATTCAGAAATTTTAAAAATGTAACTTAGGAAAAAAGTTAATAAAGTTTAAGGTCAAAAATAATTAGTTAAAGTTAAAAATTAATTTTAAATTAACTAAACTTATTAATTTTTTAACTTTTTTTTAACTTTTAACTAATTTACTAGTTATTACTCAACCCTGATTAAAATTAACAAAAAAAACTGCGTTAGCTTATAATTTCAGGTAATAAAAAAACTGTCAATAAATAGATTTATAAGTCGAATCTAAACCCACAAGGAGTTAGCAGTCTAGTAACATAAACGTCTGGTGGTGTCCAATAGAAAAATTGGATTTCTAGGGTTCCTAGCAAAGAAGCGAATAAAATATTTCTAAATTACGCCTTCTCTTCATTCCATCTTCTATGACGGTAGAAGAGGTTGTGGTTAATGGTTATGTGGTTTTGTGAATGGTGGATGTTATGAGAAAAGAGGCCGCTTCACAGCTAGCTTTACTTTTTACTTTGTCCCGTCAGCGGACGAAGATACAACAAAGAGAAAAGAAAAAGAAGACGCTAGGGTGACAGCTTTGATTCTCGATCATCGTGTGAGATTTTTCTGACATTTCTGCTTATCTAAATCCTGTTCTACAATTGCGTAAACGTAGTTGGAAGTGGTTGTACGGTATCGTAAAAAGCAGTTTCAAACTATTACTATCGTTTGCAAACGGTAGTAATGGTTTAAATAAACTATTAATGGTTTGAATAAACTATTATTACCGTTTGCAAACGGTAGTAATAGTTTAAAACTGCTTTTTACGATACCGTACAACCACTTACAACTACGTTTACGCAATTGTAGAACAGGCTTAATGTAAGTGACTCCTTAGATATTGTAACCTTAACTTAGACAATACTAATTAACTGTGCCTAAATAATCATAATTTGACTAAACTGGTTGAAGACATTAAATATTTACAAAAAAATACTAATTAATCCTGTCAGAATCTGTAGTGTAATATGGACAGTGTTGTGCTTTCAAATTAGCTAGATAAAGATGAAATAAAAATGTTTTGAGTTCAAGCCGACTTTGAGTTCAAGGGCTTTTCTTTTTATTGGCTATATAGATTGAAAAATCCTCCACAATTAATTAAAGTACTGATAATAATGAACGGGTAACGCTGTAATTTCGTATAAAAAAAACAAAAGTTAAAAAATTACTAAAATTAGTTTTTTGGCCTCGTGCATCAGCTCATAACAATACATATTTAATACAAAAGTTCTGCAGTTTGTTTGTGCACAAAATATGGCGCTCCCAATAGAGATGACATGAAAGAATAAAGGTTCGTCTACATAGACAGTAAGCAATTCAGAGTGAAGAGTAAGCACTACGAAATGGGATTTGTTCATTTTGTTACTCCTAACAAAATGAGCAAATCCCATTTCATACTGCTTACTGCTTACTCTTCACTCTGAAGTGCTTACTGCCTATGTAGACAAGCCTTTAGATAAGATGATGATTTTATGTTAAATATAGCTAGATAAAATGAAATTATATGCCGATTCTAGATAATAATTTTTAAGATTGCTTATGTGAACACAATTATAAAAAAATGTAAATTATAAAAGGATTATAAAAATATATGTAAAAAAACTGTTAAATGTATGTATAAACATATATAAAATGTATGTAACTGTAAAAATATATGTATTCATATTTTTATTTTGTATTGCTTATACTACTTAAGTTCTATTATTTAAAAGTATTTTTTTTTGTACTATGATTCTAAACTAAAATTATCTGAAAATTCTAGATACTATAGTAAAGATAATACTTTTTTCCATCTTGTAAAATGCAGATACAGATAATATATATTTTTTATTATCTATATAAAAATAAGATAATGCCAAAAAGTTTTATCTAGATAATTTTATTTAAATAAGTTTTTCTTTAAATTATAAGCGGACACCTTTTTCATCTAACAATAAGATGCAGATGTATATAATACATATTTTTTGTTATCTGTACAGAGTGGTACTGTAATAGTTGATCAAAATCAAGGATTGAATTGGGCTCGTCATAAGAATGAAAAAGTTCTCATAAACGTTAGTCCAAAAACGTATTTTGAAGTATTGCCTTTGTGTTTGAACAATAATAATAGATTTCAATTGTGACAACAGATCACTCGATTAAGTTACTTATTGAACACATTAATTGAAAAAGCACAAATTATAGTAAATATGATCAAAAGTTTAAAAGTATTCATTCTTCGAAATTGATAATTAAATGAATCGTAACTCCTGAAGGATACGTTTTTGGACTAACGTTTGTGAGAACTTTTTATTCTTATGACGAGCCCAATCCAATCTCTGATTTTGACCACTATTTCAGGATTACCCTGTATAAAGGTAAGAAGATGATGCCAAAAAGTTTCATTTAGATGATCATTTATATAATTTTATTTAGATTTTACTGTATAATTTTATTTACTATATAATTATATTTAGATATATATAATTATATAATTTGTTTACATATATAATCATATTACATATATATTTATATTTAGTTACAATATAATTTTCTTTAGATAACAGCAAACCCGGAGTATGGACGACGAAGACGTGAACGATCAGCCGGTCGACTACAGCAAGAAGTACACCGAGAGGAACGTCGCCCCGGTGCAGAATCAGCTGATCGAGTCGGCGGACGTTCAGCGGCCGCGTCGCGCCTCGAAGAAGGTGTACGGCGAGCGCGACTCCAAGGTGGACCCGTTTGGCGACTACGCCGAGACCGACCTCGACCAACCCACGGATTACAGTCTGCGTTACGCCGAGGACGACGAGGAGGAGACCGACGACGAGGAGGAGAAGCAGGGCGCTGAGTACTTCCCCGTCAGCGGGCAGGAGGACACTGTCAAGACCTACTGCACGGAGGGGACTCCCTACGAGACACCTTTTAACTTCTCCACGGCCACGTCCATGTCGGATCTTCGAGTCGAGGACGCGAAGGAGAGTGAGTTACTGAAGAAGATGCCGAAAAAGCCGATCGAAATGGCCAGGAAGAGCCCTGTGACCTTCATCAAGGAGCCCGAGACACCTGACTGCGACGAACAGGACGGTCTGATGACGAAGGAACTCGAAGAGGAGGTGAACCCGAAGGACACCGCGATCCTAAATCCTGGCCAAGTGACTCCGGAGAAGATAGTAAGTTATTACGAGGAGGAAACGTCGCACGGTTTCTCGCGTGCCAATTCGCTTAGTTCCCTGAGTAGTGCCATGACTTCTCAGAATAACGTTCCAGGAGTTATATCCAAGGTAGACTCGCCATCACCTTCCGTGAATAAAGAAGAACTGGAAGAGAGTGAGGATCACAGTGCTCTGGAATTGAATAATAATCAAGCAGAATTGTCTTCCGGAAATGATAATCTGTCCCAGCGCAAGAATACTCCACGTGTGTTGGATAAAGAAGGTTTGTATCTGGATGACAAGTTGAGGGAAAATTAACACGAGGAGAAAAAAAAATATTTTTATATGTAATTATGTGATGTATATTTCAGGAAAAATGGTGACATTCAGTGGCCAGGATTATTACGCGGAAGAAACTCCTTTAATGTTTTCGCGTTCCAGTTCGCTTGGCTCATTGAGTGGGTTTGAGCAACATTCGATTCACGATGATCGTAGTTCTGTGGTTAGTGATTTTAGGTAAATTGTATATTAAATATTAGCTTTATAAAGGAGGATGTTAAAAATAAGTCAATTTTGACCTTAAAGTGGAATCTAAATCAATCATTAGAAACTTTTTGGGGATCTTCTAGAAGCAAAAAATAACAATTATTTGTCCACCAGAAAAAAATATAAAAATTAAGATTTTTATCGATTATTGGAAGTCATATAAAGATTTTTAACCTTTAAGATTTTTAAGCTAAAAAATGTTTTAAACAAAAGTTATAAATATCTATTTACATGTCTTATCAGTTTGGTCATAGATGATGATGCTAAGGTTAGAGAAAGGTCATCTTGAATCTTTCAAATAGTACTACTATACTTTTTTTTATATTAATCGATTCTTCGCAATATTCTGCATAAAAAGTTATAAGGGTAAAATTAGTCAAAAAGTGAATATTTATGAGATTGATATTTTAATTTTACATAATCTTACATAAATTATGAAATATTTCGTAAAATATTCATTTTTTGGCCATTTTACTTTTGTAACTTATTATGCAAAATATTGTAAGGAATCGATTTACATAAAAAAATTTAGTGATTTTATTTAAAAAATTCAAGATAATCTTACCCTGATCTTGCCATCATTATCTATGATAAAACTGATAAGACTAGTAAATAGATATTTTTAAGTGCTATAATTTTGTTTGAAAAAAATTCCCAAGTCTAAAAAAATAAACATTTTTTTTCTAAAATGCATAGTTTATGAAATATTCAACTGTTTCATAATTTTTGGCACCTTATATGTATAATGTAAATTATGTAAATTAAAACATTAAATTCTCTACATATATTACTTATTTTTCAATATATAAATGTATAATTGATTTTATTTTGAAGATATATCAAGAATATAAAGCTTAAAAATCTTAGACTTCCAATAATCGATGATATAAATCTTGATTTTCAAAATTTTCCCCGCACCTAGTGGATAAATAATTGTTATTTCCTGCTTGTATAGAAGATTTCAAAAACAGTTTCCAATGGTTGATTTATGTTCCACTTTTGGGACAAAAATGGTTTATTTTTAACATCCTCCTTTCGACTTGCTTATTAAATCTTTAATTTTCCATTTAGTAAAATAAAATTATTTTCTGTTATCTTTTCAGTCGCAGGACCAGTGGTATAGTTTCACCCAGTGAATTGCCAGACTCACCTACCCAGACAGCTTTACCTAGTCCACGGAATCATAAAACTCAGAATGCAGAATTTTCCTCAAAACTACAAGAAGAGACAGTAAGACCTACAGTTCGACAGCATTTATGTATGTTATTAATGATGTCATTTCTTACCAATGCTATGATAAATATGATAATAATAACATTAACAATAATTGGATTTAGAATCTGGAAAAATTGGTAAAATCAAGGATTTTTTTTATTTTGAAAAATTTAAAAATTCTCATGTCATTTCTTTTAGACTTGGGAATTTTTTTTTTAAATTAAGATCTTGAATAATATGTGGAAAACATTTCACTGTTGAAAAAAGATTACCTAAATTTTATATTTCTCTCTGTTGCAGCATTTTCTAAACCGCAAATCACAATCAATAGCGTTTTCGAGGATGAGGTTGCTACTTTCAAGGTAGAATCGACGCCCGTTGAATTTTCCAGCGCAACAAGCCTGAGTTCCCTTACAATTGACGACGAAGTCAAAATACCTAATGATACAAATATGTACGGTAAATTGGAGAGAGTGCCCGATGAAGATGAAGAGGACGTTCATAAACTCGAGATCGATATGCTTAACGTAACGATAAGCAACTCGAAGAGTGAAGAGAAAGAGGAACAAGTGAGCGATGGCGATGAGGAGGACGACGAGGATATGTTGGCTGCCTGTATTAATATGGGAATGCAAACTAACAGGTAATTAGGAAGTCCAGAGAGATCAAATAAAATGATTTTTTCAAATATCTAAATCAACTCAAATTCTAAATATACTCAAGAGTTCTAAAACAGAGTGTATACTCCCTGGAAAAACCTGGAAAACCTGGAATTCTCAGAAAATTTTGTTCTACCTTGAAAAATCCTGGAATTATCATGAAATTTATTTTGAATTCAGGGAATTTAAAAAAAATTGCCCCTTTGATTTTAAATATAGTTTCAAAAAATATAAAATTTATTAGTTTTATATAAAGTATATATTAAAGTATATTTTATTATAATATAATACTATATTACATTATATTAAAAAAATACTTCATTTATGTTAAAAAATTATGTATAACAAATAATTATTTCAAAATTGTATTCTAAATATTATTTAAAATACTTTAATTTTATCCGAAATTTTGAACAAAAATACCTGGAAAATCATAGAGTCCTCAGGGAATTTATTTCTAAGATTTGAGTATACACCCTGTAAAAAAACTTATACTAAAGTTAAAATTTTAGCTTCTAAATGTATTTTTTATTTTTATGTCTATGATGATTTATCATCAAGTTTTAGTAGTTTGAAAATAATACGATTTTTAAGGATAGGAAAGTGTTCCTCATTTTTTTTTAGTAGTGTATTTCTATAAAAATTGAATTGTGACATCAGAGAGGAGAAAACAGGCTAAAAATCCTTAGATGCCATTTTGAAATATCTTTTCATTTAATAATGGCATCTAAGAATTTTCAGCGGGTACTTTCTCGCCTCTGATGTCACAATCTAACATGAGGATCGAGTATGCTGGAACCTACTCTATTTTACCAACGAAATGTTAATTTGTAATTTTGTTTATTTTTTTTTATCGCTTTTATAAAATTAAAAATTCTTTTCAGAGATTAAAATACATATATTAATAAAGGCATAGATCTTCATCTTTGATTTAAAAAAAGAAAAAAATTTGGAAATTTACCGACAACCTGTCAATTAATATAAATATTTATTTTATATTAAAGTTATACAGTTTGCAAGTACAAAATAAGCTTAGGAAGACAAGAAGGGCATGTGAAAGAATGACAGGAGACCTTTAAAATTGAGTTTAGAGGTTTAGTTTTAAAAAATCACAAACAAGTCAGATCTACGTAAAATATATACAATATTGAAGTAATAACATAAAAAAGAGCAATAGGTTTCCGGATATTGTACATAATATAAATATATATAAGCAATAAAAAATAAAAATAAAAATAAAATTGCAGGTAACATTTGGTCAATAAATTTTTACAGATAGTCAGCTCCAGCATCACCTTAAAAATGGCATCTAAGAATTTTCAGCGTGTGCTTTCTTGCCTCTGACGTCACAATCTAATATGAGGATCCAGTATTCTTAATTAAGTTTTTTCTTTTCATATAAAATAATAATAAATCCTATTTACAGGTACAGGCAATCCCTGTCGAAGATTCAGCACGAAACTCCGACGGAGAGTCCGGCCATCAGTGGTACTCTGAAAACGAACAGGACCGCGGTGGACACCGTCGCCTCGGACACCGTACACGTGTATTGCACGGAGGATACGCCCGCGGATATCTCCCCGGTAGGATCGCACTCCAATCTGTCCGCTCTCTCGATGCCAAGTGTCCAGGAAGACGTGGAGAAGATCGAGCCGGACAGCCAAGATCGATCGGCCGAAATCGATTGTCACAGGGGTGACTTATTCGACGAAGGTTCCAATCTTTCGGGCGAGGACGAGAAAATATTAGACGAGTGCATTCAATCGGGCATACCTAAGGTATTTAATTTCTCTTCGATCTGATACTTTTTTCTCTTACAAGAAAGGACTCAGAAGGTCAGGCAGGGTTAGTATTTTAAACGATTTGTTTAACTGTTTGATTAAAACATGTTTAAAACATTGCAATTAAAATATATGATTATTTAAAAAAGAAAAACAAAAACAAAAACCAATAGACGTTGCAAAAAGGTTTTTATTTTAAATTTTTTAGTTTATCTATATTGATATATGTGTAACCTATAGATATAAAATTAAAAATATAAATATAAATAATGAAATAAAAATAATAAGATAAGTATTATTTTAACAGAATATTTATTTTTGGATATTAATTATTAAGTAATAATTAATATAATTGAATATATTAAATATTGTACATATAAGGCTATTTGCACAAAGCACAAACTATTAAACTTTAATTATAACACGTTGCATTTTACATTTTATCTCTTGCAAATAATAAAATAATGTAATTCCTTTAATTAAAAAAATAATACACATTAAATAAATTAAAATTAAATAAATTTTAAAATTAATAACTCAAAATAAAAAATATTTAAAAATTGTAAACAAAGAAGGGCTATTAAACGTAATACAGTTGACAGTTGATATTAATAAAATTCATTTAAACCAAATAATAAATACATAAGAAATAAACATTTTGCGAACATTTCGGCTGACATTTCAAGCCTTCTTCAGCGCAATAAAAATATTTTAATTAGAAATTGAATTGTAATATTAAACATTAAAGACTGTTATTAACAATGTCAAGATAATATATATATAAAGTCAGCTTTAGATCTCGTTATATATGTTGCTAAACAAGTCATCGTGTATGACAACCACTATTACTGATACATACTGAGTTCGAGCGACCGTACCATGCAATCACTTATGAGTATAGATTTCCTGATTTACTGGTCAAGGGAGATATCTTGATTAAATCTTTATGTTGAAATGTTGTTAAGCATTAAATTGAGATCTAAATAAACAATATCTGTGATTATTCACTATAATCTGCCAAGTAAAATGCACTACACACTCACTCAAATAAAATGATGATTATTTTATAGAAGTTTCAAGTATCAGATCCGACATCTTTTTAAATGTTTTTAGTGAAGACAAAACAAAACGTCCAACCGTCATAACTCTCAGATATCAAATGAGACAGTAACTCGGTGTTTTACCTTTTTATATCAAGGTTTATTTTTAAACCCTGATAATTTGGCAGACTCTATAATGTTATTATATATATCAGGCAAATATTCAGTATCATTTTGTAGATTCAATCCATTAGATTGTCTTTTTATATATAACATTTCCGATATTAGGTTTTTTATCTAAAATTTTCACTTCATTCCAGTCAAAATCATGGGAGAACTCTATTCTATGATCAGTAACAATTGATTTATTAGAACAATTTCTGTTGATGTGTTTTTTTATGTTCCATTATCCTAGTATTCAATTTTCTGCTAGTCTGACCCACATATAAAGCATCACAATTTTTACAGTTGATTTTATATACTACATTAGTATTCGCTCCTTTAGATATTTTATCTTTATGTGTTTTTATAAACTTCCCTAATTTATTCATACTTACATAAGAGAGTCTAGTGTCAGCTTTTTTTGTGATACCTATCACTTGTTCAGTAATATTTGGTAAATAAGGTACAGTAAAAAACAAAGAAGAGTCATTTGACTGACTTAGACTGTTGTTTGGAATATTACTTCTAGTATAAATTAGAGTTTTTAGTCTATAGTTAATTGTGTCAAATATGAATTTTACCGGATAATTATTATTGATTAGGATGTTAATAATCATTTCTATATTTTTTTGATGAAATGAAGGATGTGATAATAAAATTACTCTATCAATCAGACCGACAATTGTGCCTCTTTTTTGACATATAGGGTGTTGCGAAAGAAAATTCAAATACCTTTCAGAAAACGTAGGCTTTCTAAACCAATTGCAAATAATTTTATTATATTTTGATATTAATTTAATGTCCAAGAAACTCAAACTATGGTTTTTTTCTTTTTCAATTGTGAATTGTATACGTGGGTGTAACGAATTAAAAGTATTTAACGTATGGCCAATATAATTGTTAGGTACTGACAAAATAAGGTCATCTACATATCTATGGAAAAAAAACGGTTTATAGATAAGTGAATTTAGAGTTTTGGATTCCAAATCTTGTAACACTATATCAGCAACTATGGGAAAAAGAGGGGAACCCATCAGAGTTCAAGTTTGTTTGTATATAGCATCGTTAAAAGTAAAAAATGTAGAGTTTAATATTAGACTAATGCCATATAAAAATTCCGATTTATTAAGACTGCAATTATCAGTAATGAATTGCCATCTCTCCGATAAACCTTCCAATACTAAGTCTACCGGTATATTGGTAAAGAGTGACACAACATCTAATAAAATCAAACTCGAATTATTCTCTAACTGTAATGTAGAAAATTTTTTCACTAATTTAAAGCTGTTTTTTGTATAACTACCAGTTTTTGGAATACTTTTTATTAATATCTTGTGTAAAAAAACTGCTAAATTATAAAGTGGTGTATCAATAGACGAGACGATAACTCTATAGGGACAATTAATTTTATGCACTTTCGACAAAAAATATTTAATTTTATATATTAAATGCTTACATAGATTAAAACTATCAAATGTTTTTTGCTTGTTTAAAACATGTTTTTTCTTATTTTACTTGAAAACACACAAAATAAACAACATTATTTTAAACAAAAAAATCAATGTTTTTTATTTAAAATGAAGAAAAAGTTTTTTGCCAATCTTGAGCTCAGGCTTTGGTCTCTTTGTTACTCCAATTTTTTTATATAAAGTATTTAAAGATATATAGTATTTGCTGTTATCTAGATAAAATTATATAGATGATCATCTAGATGAAACTTTGATGGCATCTCATCTTTATATAGATAATAAAAATATGTATCATCTATATCTGCATCTTAGATGTGAAAAAAGTATTATTTTTACTAAATTATATAAAATAATTTGTAGATAATTTTGGTTTAGAATCACAATACATAAAAATACTTAAATAGTAGTACTTAGATAGTAAGCGATAAAAATTTATAAATAAAAATATGAATACATATATTTTTATATCTCTTTTATAATTAATATTTTTTTATAACTGTGTTTACATAAGGAGTATTAAAATTTAGATGAATTATTATAATTTTATCTTTAATTAGAAATTATATATAATTTTATATAATTTTATCTTTTATCTAGATATATTTAAAACAATATTATCTTATCGAAGATAAATACATATTTTTATCTAGCTAGTGTTAAAATCATCTAAGCACAACACTGCACAAATTATATTATATTATTTAACGCAGTGTATTTATATTATTTTCATTTTTATTTACAGGCGAGACAAATAACTCTACCTCCAACGAGTAGTATCCCGTTCGTCAAGAAGTCGGAAATGTCGCATATGATTAACATATGCGGCACGCCGTCGTCTTCGCCCGTCGAAACGAATCATGGAAATAAGCAGGGATGGGTAAGTTAATTTTTTTTTTTAACTAAGTTAAGTTAAAGTTAAGTGCCTTGAAAATTTAACTTGGTTAAGATACAAGTTAATGAATAATGAAATTAATAGAATTAAAAATTAAGTAATAATAAAAAGTAATTAAAAAATTAAAAGTTAAAATTGTTTTAAAATCATTCGAATCGAAATCTTTTTCATTTGACGTAGACGAATCAGATTCGTCAACAATGTGAACACTCATTGTGTCTACACAAAATTTCAGACTCATGATCACGTAAATTGCATTGAATTTTAGGACGCCGAGCTCTATGCGAAATAATCGAACTCACACGAAATATGGTCCGTTTCGTATACGAACAAAAAAGTTAAATAAAAAGTTAATAATTATATATATATATATATATATATATATATATATATATATATATATCAAATGTAACTAAATTAAGTTGAAAGTTAAGAGTCTAAAAATGTAACTAACAATAAGTTAAATTAAAATTTAACTTTTTAACTTAACTTTTATCTTTTTAACTAGACACTACCCAACCCTGGAAATAAGAATCGCATATTGAGGCCTAAGTCGCTGGGTGGAGAATTATTATCATCAAGACATCCGGACGAGTTTTCTGATGACAGCTTGAATCATTCGGATGACGATGCAATTTTGACGGAGTGCATACAGTCTGCGATGCCCAAGGTCAGTAGTTACTCTTTTAATCTTTTAATTCTGACAAGTAAACCTCGGGGAACGTGAGACGCCGATTTTTCCATTTTTTTAAAGTTGTTTCAGATGTCAAAATATGAAGAAATCTGTCGTTATTTTTAGCTCAAATTGATTTTTTTCATTTTTTGGAAATTTTTAAATTTTGCGCAAATTTTAAGATTATATGTTTAAAACATTTTTCTTACTTTTTTACGAATAAATCTGTCTGCTTTTGATGAAACTCGGCACATAAATAGAACATTAATTATAATAGTTTATTTATTTTCTTTCTATCGTGTTAAGCAGTTTGAGCAGTTTTTAAATATTTTCTAAACATTTTTTATTTTTAAATATTTTTATTTGTTTTTAATATTTTTTTTGTTTTTATACTTAATATTTTTTACAATTGTGTAACTAATTTTAAAAAATTTATTAATTGCAAAAAATTTGTTGCAAAAAAAATACAACAAAGGAAACACATTATTATTAAATATATTTTTTACAAATATGGACAGATTGAAAAATACAATAATTTGCACATAAATGAAGTTTACAATAACTAACATCTATTAAATGAAACATTTCTACAATTATAAATGTCATGTATTTTTCTCAAAATGTAGACAAAATTGTGAAAATTTGGAATTTAGGTAGGAATTTAGGTGGTTTTTGTGTTATATAGCCAGCTTTGTAAATTCTTAAAGCTCTGAAGCGTAGTGATGCTATTTGAAAATGAAAAAATCAATTTGAGTTGAAAATAACGACAGATTTCTTGATATTTTGATAACAGAAACAAGTGTAAAAAATTTGAAAAAATATTTCACTTGTATACAGAGTCTCATAGCATCATCAGTGTTATAAATAATTTTTCTTATCGGATGATTTGATTTCCAGGCAAGATTTCAACCGTTATCACAAACGGATAATCCCAAAATGCAGACATCTTCAACTTCCTCGGCATTTCTTCAGCCGAGATATACAGAGCAGAGAAAGAGTACGACGAAAAAACGCTTACCTTTCGAAGATAATGTCGGACTTTCCGAAGAGGAGGAGGATATCATGTTGGCGCAGTGTATTAGATCTGGGATGCCAAAAGTAAGCTGTTTGTGTATATAGAATGCAGTGTTGAGAAAGTTATTTTCAAGGTGTATACATCCTGGAAAAACCTGGAATTATCATGGAATTTGATTTGAACTCAGGGAATTTTTTAAAAAATTGCCCCTTTGATTTTAAAATAGAGTTTTAAAGAATTATATTATATATTAGTTTTATATAAAGTATATATTCAAATATATTTTATTATAATATAATACTATATTACATTCTTATATTAAAAAATACTTAATTTATGTTAAAAAATTATGAATAACATATACAAACTTATTTCAAAATTGTATTCTAAATATTAAAATACTTTAATTTTACCTGGAATTTTGAACAAAAGTATCTGAAAAATCATGGAATCCTCAGGTTTATTTCTAAGATTTGAGTACACATCTTGTATTTTGTAAAAATATCGATTTATCGTAATTTTCATAAAAAATTATAAGAGTAAGATGGCCAAAAAATGAATAGTTTATAAGATATTTTATACTTAAATTTGACAAAACATTTTTACATAATCTATAAAATATCTCGTAAAATATTTATTTTTCGACGATCTTACCTAAATACTTTTATGCATAAAATAATAAAAGAAATCAATTGGTATAAAAGAAACGCATAGTTTTTTTGTAAGAAAAAATATGTAACTGCTAGTTGCAATTTACATACTTTAGCTTGAAAACAATTATGTGTTTTCTGTACATGAATTGATTTTTCTCATTATTTTGCCCATAAAAATATTCAGACAAGATTATCGAAATCTGAATATTTTACAAGATTTTTCATAATTTATGTAAAATTATGTTAAGTATAAAATATCTTCCAAACTATTTTTTATGCCAAAACTTACGAGGAATTAATTTATCTTTAAAAAATATGGTGATTTTATTTAAAAAAATCTAAATGATTTTCAAATGATCTTGAAAAGTATCCTTCAGAAAAAAATCAATAACGCTATTTTTGTCTCCCTTTAAATCAAACTTTTGTTTAAAGCATTTTGTTATATAATCTAAAATGAAAAAGATTATCAGAGTCATCGATTAAAATGGGACATTTTGTATATAGGTATTCTATAATATAGGTCATTCATAAAGTTCGTACTTTTGCTTATAAGGAAAAGAATGAAATAGTTAAAAATTCAAATAGCTGCAGATCAAATCGTTTATTGATGGTAGCAATCGAACGTGATTAGTTTTCATTTTTGGAACCAACAAATCAACGTAAAATATTGATAAGATGATAAATTGTTCTGTTGAACTAGCGTTTCTTTAATACATTTCTAACATATGTACGATGATTTTTAGGCTCTAAGTTCCATGTCTACGACGCCTACGCTCAAAAAGTCCGAGCCGTGTCCGAAGAGCGCGAAGAATTTTTGGGCTCCTCCGGCTTCCTTCTTCACGAACAAGGTCTACCCCAAGAACAACGCCGCTCCGCACTCATCACCGTCGTATAAAAGCAGAAACGTCTCAGGCAATCTTAATAACGGCTTCTTGGGGACAAGAGCGACGAGCAGCAGCGGTCTGGTAGCACAGTCGGGTCAGACGTCGAGGAACTGTGATAACGAGACTCGCGAGAGGATAAACAATTCGCCGCATTGCACCCGAAGAGCGTCGTTTCGTCACGCGGAGAGCGAAAACGGCAACTCCGTCGACGATTACGCGTGCAAGAGCACGGGGAACCCGGTGGCTGCGCGTCACATCTCGGTGAGCGCCGTCGGCGAGGCGGACTCGCGGATCTCCACGCAAGAATGGGCTTTACTCGAACTGTGCATCACGTCCGGCATGCCTGCGAACAAGTATCGCGTTAAGGGAATGAAATCTAGTGAGAGTGCAATTTCCAACGGGCACGACGACTGCGAGCCGATACCGGAGGACAATTATTCTGTGTGCAGCTACAATTCTTATATTTTTAAAACGTAATGCTCGCACTTGACAGAATTTCTCTCTTTGTACAAGGTATCCCGTAGGAAATTGCTGAAATTAATCAACTGTCATTTTTTAATGTATACAGTTATTGGGAAAACAAAAATTGTGTTGAAAAGACAAGGTGTATACTTTCGGGAAAAACCTAGAAAATCTGGAATTTTCAGGGAATTTTTTTCTACCTTGAAAAATCTTGGAATGCTCATAGAATTAATTTTGAACTCAGGGAATTTTAAAAAAAATTGCCCCTTTGATTTTATTTTCAAATATAGCTTTAAAAAATATATAATTTATTAGATTTATATAAAGTACATTAAAATATATTTTATTAATAAAATATAATATATTATTATAAAATATAATATGGTATATTATTATATTAAAAAATATTTTGTGTTAAAAAATTGTGTAACAAAAATAAACTTAATTTAATTAAGACTCACTTAATTTTATTTGGAATTTTTTAACAAAAGTATTTGGAAAATCATGGAATTTATTTATAAGATTTGTGAGTATACACTCTGGAAAAAGGAAAGTGCAGTTTTTAATTAATATAAATAAAATGTTTGTACACCAGTTTATTTTATTGAAAAAAGTAATTAAAAAAGTGCTAATAATCACATTTTTTGTTTTCTCAATAACTGGTATGCCTTAAAACAAGCAGTCGATTAGTTTCAGCAATTTCCTATGGGATACCTTGTACCTCTCTGCCTGATGCGTGCGTATGTATTGTATATACTGTAAATTAAAAGAAATTTAATATTTTTATATATTAATTAATAAAATACACACGCTTGTGTGTTTAAGGTGCTTAATTGAACTCTAGACTTCCAACTGTGGATAATTTTAAATTAATAAGACACGATCATGTACGTGTGATCTATAAATTATATTAAATTGATATTGATATGAAATTAATCATTTTCTGTTTTCTGCATATTATGATTAAAGCTGTACGAGACTAGAAAAAATAAAAAAATTTAAATATGTTACGATCTCATAATGCGATTCAATCAACTTTTCTGTTTTTAAATAAATAGTAATCAAAATTAAAGATTATTTTCTATATGTAGTTTCTAAATATATCCAGACACTCAGTATTTGTTAGATGTATGTAATATAAAATATGAAAAATGCAAGAAACTTTTTCTGATGTCTACCTGGCTCGGCTCCTCATCATGTCTAAGAATTTTTAGAGTGTGTTTTCTTGTCTTTGACGTCACAATCTAACATGACCGCGAAAACCCAGGAGTTTAAAAATTTAAAACAAAATGATTGATTTTATATCAATATCAATACCAATTTAATATAATTTATAATAATATTTCCAGCGCTGAATTTCCTAATTTCTAAATAAAAATGTTTCCAGTAAATTCTATATCAAATATTTTACACATCGGTTGAGTTTATAATTTAAGCATTAAATGATATTCGCACACACATTAATATGTATGTTACATAAATTCTAAACGTATGATATTACTGGTAAATTGCTTTCGCAAATGCGAAATTATACGCACTGGAAATGTTAACTCACGGTTCTACTTTTAGATTCACAATCTAATAGTTTCTCTGTCAAAGTAGAAATATTTATTCCGAACAGTCTATTTTCAAATAAAAATCAATATTTTAGGTAGTTTTTATCGAATTTCAATGGAATTCCGAATTTGTTTTACATACATTTGCAATATTTAAATTTTTATTAAAATATGTAATATTTTTATTGATCTCTTAGTATTAAGACTTTATGTAAGTCTTGTAAAATTGCTTTAGAAAATTATTCAATTTTTTAAATAATATTTAAACATATTAATACTTCTTAAGACGTTCAGTAAATTATTTTTTATTTTATATTTTTGTATATATTTTTGTATGCACTTTGTTATTGTCCAAATTAATTTTACTCGTTAAATAAATCTATATTAAATTCTAACAACCATTCTTAATAAACCTTCTTTGCCATTGTATGAATAGAAAATATTAGATAGCATATACAGTAGAAAAACTGATTTTAAAAAATTGCATTCATAAATTTTCTTATTTTACCTGAAATTCTAAACTAAAATACCAGAAAGATTAGGGAATTTTTTTACAAGATTTGAATAGATTTAATTTGATATAATTTTACATAAGCTATAAAAAATATTTATTTTTCAATAATCTTGTGAAAATACTTATATGTACAAAATAATGAGAAAAATCAATTGATGGAAAGAAAACAATTGTTTTTAAGAAAAATTATCATTTCGAAATATTTAATTATTCAAAAATGGAGGATGTTTTATTTTCAAATAATGCATCGTTATTTTTCGAAAACCAAGGTTTTAATTAATTTTAGTTCAGATGGAGAATTTTCGAGGTCACCATTACTTTTTCAAATGGGGAATCATCATAATTTTCTTACATAAATCGATTCCTCGTAATATTTAGCGTAAAAAATTATTAGAGTAGAATAATCGAAATGGTTTACGAGATATTTTATACTTTATTCTGACCAATTTTGACAAAAAATATGAAATATCTTGTGATATATTCATATTTTTCGATAATTACTTTGATAAAATTTTCTGCATAGATAAATCAATTAGTGTAGGAAAAACATACTTTGGTGATAAATAATTGCAATTTGCAATCTTTCGTTTAACAATATAACTAAGATTTTGTACATCAATTAATTTAACTTATTGCTTTATATACAAAAAGTAATTATTAAGGCAAGATTACCGAAAAATGAGACGAATATTAGAAAACATGTCATATATATTTTTGTAAAAAATTAATCATAAATATATTAAATGCGCGAAATTGAACGGTCGCCGGAAATCGGCCGAATTCCATTCGTCGAAAAGGAAGTCGCGGTGTTTGGATTGCATATGTATATGTACATATATGCGCTAGCACACTTCTTGTGCCGGCGATCGCGAAGAGAAGAGGTCGGTCGAGCGTAAAGTCCGGCCGCCTCTTGACCGCTACCCTGATGCCCTTCGATGACTCGTAATGACCGCTTGCGCGGCACCTTACTCTATTTTCTGCACGTATAAATGTACGCGACGCTACGCCCGCACGACCGTATTCCGCAGTGCACCGCGACCAGTGTGTCCGTTGTATCGAAGATATCTTGGAAGAGGAGTGCCCAATCTTTCTCCAGGTAAAAAGGATACGTCTATTTCTGCAGTGTTGTGCTTTTTTGAATCAAATTAACTAGACAAATATGAGATGAATAAGTAGAGACTTATCTTAAATAAAATGAAGACGATTTTGTTTTAAATAGGATCCAGATGAAAGATAAAACAAATTTTTGATTTTTAATAAAAAAAAAAAGTTTTGTATAAAAAATAAATTTTAATTGATATTTTAATTAAAATTTCTTTTTTAATAAAGAAGAAAATTTTTTAATAAAAAATCAAAAAATTTTATCTTTTTTTATCTTTCTTATCTTTTTTTATCAAAATTTTAATTAAAATTTTTAATTTTTAATTTAATCAAAAATTTATTTTTCAATTAAAATTTTAATTAAAAATAAATTTTTGATTTTTAAAATAAATTTTTTTTTCATTTTTAACATAAAATCGATAGGTCCGCGCCTTGTTTCTATACATATATACTTTAATCGCAAAAAAGCATTTATTATTCTATTCAACCAATAAAAAGAAAAGAATGCGCAAAAATGATGTTTTATCGTATAAAAAAATCTAAATTATAAAAAAGACATAAAAATATATTTACATTTTTATTTGTAAGTTTTTATCGCTTGCAAGTATTTTTATATACTTTTATGATTCTAAACCAAAAATTATATGAACATTATTCTAAATAATTTAGTAAAAATAATATTTTATTCACCTAACAATACATATATGGGACAGGATGTCCCAAAACTGGCGAAAAAGTTTTTAATGACAGAGTCCTGGTATCATTTGGAGACGATTGTTCCTTAGTGAAAATGCTGAGGGAGGTCATCATTTTTAGCATGTTCCTAATTTTTGTTATTATGTATCTTTATACCTAATAATAAGCCTTATATTAAAATTCTATTAAAGCAAACTATATAAAATTAACTGAAGAATTTAGTTTTGTTAATAATTTATTTCCACGAGGCTTAGTTTTAAAAAAGCCTTTATTTACAATCTGCTTATAATTCGAAATTATTGGTGTCTCGACATTTTCGCTGAGGAAAAATCGTCTCCGAATGATACCAGGAATCTGCCATTAAAACTTTTCCGGCAGTTCTAGGACACCCTGTATATATGAGATGCAGATAGATATCTAATATCATATTTTTATTATTTATATAAAGATCAAATGACGAGAAAATTTCATCTAGATGATCATCTATATAATTTTATTTAAATAACAACAAACACTGTTTATATATAAATTCCAAGAGTATGTCACGCAGAAATTTATGAATGAATTTTTTATATTTCCACGTGCTTTCCTTTTTATTTGATATTTTGATGTTTTACCTTTGGCTCAAAAAATATTTTAAATGTCATATATTTTTATCAGAAGAGAAAAAATACATATATGATAGAGATAAAAATATTCAAGAAGATAAATAAAAAATAGAGCGATTAATAATAATTAATGTAACATATTTAATAATTTTCAAATTGTACATTAATTAATAATATATAATAATATGAGAAAAATATACATATATAATAGAGATAAAAATATTCAAGAAGATAAATAAAAAATAGAGCGATTAATAATAATTAATGTAACATATTTAATAATTTTCAAATTGTACAATTAATTAATAATATATAATAATAATATAAAATACAGAAGAGTAAATCTCAAATTGTACAATTAATTAATAATATATAATAATAATATAAAATACAAAAGTAAAAAAATGTAAAGGGATATAAAATTATATTTACTTGAATTTTCTTGTTTACACACACACACACACACATAAATTACATATTATTAAAATTAAAAGAAAATGATAAAGATAAAAATTCAAGAAGATGAATAAATAGAGCGCGATTAATAATTAATGTAACATATTTAATAATTCTTAAATTGTACGATTAATTAATAATATAAAATACAGAAGTAAATTTATTTGAATTTGCTTGTTCAATAAATTATATATTATTATTAAAATTAAAAGAAAAGTAAATAATAAGTAATATGATATATCTTATTAATTAGCGCGTTTTGCAAAAATATTTGGTAACTATTATATCTTTATTTAAAACTATCGGAACTTTCGACATTTTTTAAAATATCAACGCTCTCTTCCAAATTTTCGTGGAAAAGTAACATTTATAAGGCTCCTGTTTATACTCATTGTAGTCATCTTAATTGGATTGATGACGTCAGAAGCGAGAAAATTGTTGCTTCCCATTTACATCAAAGCTCAGATAAATCTCATTTTTGTTTCTTTTTAACGTGGATGTTGAAGAAAGACAGAAGTAAGATTTATCTTTATTTGAGTTTTGATGTAAATGGAAGGCGCAACTAATATATCATGAAAATTTTTGCGACTTACGCTAAAATATATAAAAATGTTTTCAATAGTGTTTGAAATCAATAGAACAGACATCAAAATATACCGAAAACTCTACTTTTATTTGGATAATCAATAAATAACATATACTATATGTCGAAATGAATTGAGCCTAACAAAGGATGAAAATCAGCTGTTTGACAGGTGTCGAAATGAAATAAATATTTGCTTCTACATATTAAATTATATGCAAAAATGGTGGAGTTTTTGGTATATTTTAATATCAAGATGATTATTATTTTAAACATGTATAAAAACTTTATACAGTTAACAATATCAAATAATAATTAAATTTGCTCATATATTGTTAACAAATAACTTATTTAAAGACCAACACAAAGAGCACTTATTAAGGTGATATAAAATAAACGATTTATTCCATATATATTACAAATAAACGTTTTGACTGCACGCAGCCTTTTTCAGTAAAAAATTCCATTAAATCAATTTACCATATCATGAAGTTAATAGTCTTTCGTTAATATGTCTTTCGATATTAATCGTTTTTGACAAAAACTTGAATTAATTATTAGTATACTAATAAGCAACGGTTATCCTCTTGATCTCATTTTCAACAAGATTAATCATCGGATAGGACATCTCATTTCCAAGAAAAGCATTGTAAATAGAGATATTACCGCAAAACAAATAGATAATTCAGATAATGAATCAGTACATAAAAATTATTTGTTATTCCATACATTAACAAAATATCAGAAATGATTATCTCTTCGATTAAAAATAAGGACCTCACAATAGGATACATATGTTTTAATAAACTTGATAAAATCATTAAGACACATAAAGATAAAAATGAACACTCGTGTAACTCAAATGTAGTGTATAGGATAAACTGTAATGATTGTAATGCATCATATGTAGGACAAACGAAGAGACAACTGCAGACTAGATTAAAAGAGCATAGAAACAATATTAAATTAGATTCGAGTAGACATTCGGTAATTTCTGAACACATATTAAATAAACAACATACATTTGATTGGAATAATGTTAAAATTTTAGATAGTGAAATTAATTATCATAAAAGACTCATCTCAAAGATGTTACATATTAAGAAACAAAAAATGGTTTGAATTTAAATAAAGATACCGAATTACTCACAATCAGTGTATCTTATTTTGATATTCTAGACAAAATAGCAAACATTTAATATAAACACATAAGACAAATAGGTCGTCAGAGACATTCTTAGATCAAACCTATTTAATACACACATAACCAAGATCGAGCACAGTTGGAAATGGGAGGTCTTGTCATACGTGACTTTCTTTGAAGAACAACATATATTATAAGTAAGCGTGTGAATTTTATTACTATTTTAACTTGTGACATAGCTCTAATTTATTTATTTATTCATTAATCATAGTGCGGTTGACAACAACTATTTCTCGCATAGAAACGAAGAAATTGTACGGAATCTTTCCAACATCTTAAATGTTGTCGCATCATAAGTTGTTTAATATGCACAAGTCCAGCAATATATATTATATTTGTTGAGTAGCTAACAGATTGTCGATATGACAGGACAATTTTCATGTTTCTATTTTTAATTAATGTAATTGCTGAATAAGAACAACACTTGAAAAGGACCATAATGTGGGTCGAAACGTAGTGTGTACTTATTTTCAATAAATGAATAGCCAGTTTTAGGTCGAATTAAATTGCATCTTATTATTTGTGAAAATTTTATCACTGGCGATCAACAATTAATTGTGAAGATTTATTATATTTGTTTTAATTCTTAACTCATATTAACGAAAGACTATTAACTTCATGATATGGTAAATTGATTTAAATGGAATTTTTACTGAAGAAGGCTGCGTGCAGTCGAAACGTTTATTTGTAATATATATGGAATAAATCATTTATTTTATATCACCTTAATAAGTGCTCTTTGTGTTGGTCTTTAAATAAGTTATTTGTTGTTATATAGTTAATTATATATATAATTAATAAACAAAATCGTATTATTTATTAATTATATTATTTTTGTTAATTATTACACATACATCTTTTATCGATAAAACCTAAAACAATATATATATATATATATATATATATATATATATAGATTCTTATTTCCATCATTTTAATTAAGTCGTTGCTATCAACGAAGGCAATATATCGAGTATGCAGGAGCCTTAATACGGCATTATTGATTTCCTGCCGCTTTCAAAAATTCACGCATATACGTGTAAAGAATCGAAAATATAGAAATATGTAAAAATATGTATAATGTGATAACAATAAGATCAGAATTATTTTGTGATTAGAATGAAAAATAAGCGAGAAAAAGAACAAAGTTCTCCTCTCACACATATACAGACACAAGATGCGTAAATCCGTGAAAGACCTCATCCATCACCTTGAGTAATGCCATAGGATTAGGCAGATACTTCAAAACAAAGTATTTAAATACGAAGATACAAGATACTGTTTTGACATATATTTAAATACTATTAAAATACTTTAGTTTTGAAATATATTTAAATACTATATTGTATTTAAATACATTTATAAGTACTTTTAAATACAATTATTCTTAAAATTTTCTGATTATACTATATACTTAATATATTAAAGTAATTACACAAAAAAAGATT